TTAAGGCTCCAAATGACGCCCTGGTCCATTGGTTGCAGAACTGATGTTACATTGGTGGAAGGTTGATGTTATTAGGTGAAATATTTGGATGAGCGGGGAAGTTATCGACCAAGAGCCAAAATTTTACGATTTTCCTTAACAACTTTAGCGTCCCACTTTTTTAAATATTCTCCAAAAATTGATAAGTTATCCAAGCTTTATTATTTCCAACATAATCGACGGGAATGGTTTTAACATTTATGAAACAGCTGGGATTCTTAAATTTCCCTGAAATAAAAAAGGTCATAAATTCTTTGCAGCACTGCCATTGAATATCAAAAAAAATAGGACATGAATTTCTATTTATTCACTTACCTATTATCAATAGTTTCCGTTTTCAGTACCAGAAGCATTAGCACAAATCATAACAGTTATTCGCTTTTTTGATAGTTTCCCTCCATTGCACGTTTCACCTTTGAATTTATGAATTTTATGTGGTAGCATTCTATAAACTATCCCGGTTTCATCTGCATTGAATATGTTATTATCTGAATAATCACTGGATATTAGGGGCCAAACTTGAGAAATTCAGTCATTGGTAACGTTCTTGTCAACTGAAGCTGACTCACCACACATTTTTCCAAAAACAATGTTATGTCTTTTCTTAAACCTGTCTAGCCAACCGGAACTACATTGGAATTAATCTTCAATCACCTTCCCAAATTCTTCAGCCTTTATTTGTAGCATAGGTCCACTTATTGGAATATTATTAGCAAGCTTTTGTTGAAACCATTTAAACAGCAAATCATCGATTTGGGGATGCAGCGATAGCAGCATTTTTTTCTTTTGACTATTTGATTTCCAGTCATTTTTCATTTTGTCACGGTTTTTCCAAATACTTGACACAGTGGATTTTGTTATAGCCATACGAGCACATATATTTGCTTGAGATGAACCCTGCTCAAGCTCACTAATTATTGTGAACCTTTCGTGTAAAGTGAATGCACGTTTCGCACTTTTCGACATGTTTATAACTCTAATAAATACAGTATAACACTAGTGGCCAAGTTCGAATGCAAACTGCCGTAAACAATTGCATCAGCTAAATCTGCTTCGGGGAAATACCAAAATAGCTCGCATGTAATGGATTAAAATAGTCCACTATAAGCGAGGGTCTATTTTAAGCGAGTCTATAATATCCGAGGATTTTACATGCAATTATTTATAGGACCTTAAATTGTGTCCATTATATACGGGTTTCCATTATAAGCAAGTTCATTATAAGTGGATTCCACTGTATTTATTGTTTTGTTTTAGATCGAAGACAAGCTGCTCCAAGATTCGTCATAAAACCACAAAGCGCCTTCTGTTACGAGGGACAAAGTGTCAAATTCTACTGCAGAGTGATAGGCGTTACAACTCCGACCTTATCCTGGTACCACAACAACGTTGAACTGAGGCAGAGTGTCAAGTACATGAAGAGATATGCAGGAGATGACTATTATTTCGTCATTAACAGAGCCAGACTGCAAGACCGTGGAGAATATATCATCAGGGCCGAGAACAATTATGGTTCTAGAGAAGAAGTTGTCTTCCTCAATGTACAGCGTAAGTGTTTGCAGAAAATCTTTGTTTATCAGATTTTTTAAGCTTGAAATTTTGTTTACACGATTTTTGCTTCAACTTTGAGAAACTCGTAAAATAATACAGAACATGTGCAAGGTTTCAATACAAATGCTGAATGTGAATATGATACAAAAAGATGAGAATGTTTGAAACATTTCATAATAATCGTAGGTACGTCCGGTAATAATTTTACTATTATTATATTGAAGCGTTTTTCTGGGTTCTTTTGGGTGTGAATTAAAACGCTGGATTCCATAGAAAAGAAATGCACTGATTTATTTAACTGATATAACATTTATGTACACCACTATTTATGTCTGACTAATTCTTATGTCGCCATTGACTGCACTATACTCCACTTCGCTCTGCCACTCTATCGTATTCAGTACCCTCTGCCCCTTCTCCCGGCCGCCGAGTTATATACAGGGTGACTTTGAAGTTGAGTCATTAATTTTCAGATAATGATTGTAGAAGGAAGATAAACCAGAATATGTGTGTAAAAATAAAAAAAAATTAAAAAAAAAAGTTTACCTTGTTTTATAAAGTATCCTCCCGACAAGTATTTCAGTGCGGACCTGTATTTGATCGTGAGGTCCCCTGTGAGGTCTTCAAGTCACCTGATTCACGAGCCCGTTGTACTACATTAACAAAGGCACGAGGGGTTGGTTGCACTCGATTGGGAAACCGATCCGCATAAACATGTGCCATTTTTTATTTCGTTTGAGCCACGCAACAGACACTATTCACACGCTAACCGACTGTATGTATAACTGAACTGAATAAAATACTTAATTGCAAAAACGTCGTTCCAAATTCTTTCGCTTTTTTGTTTCCGATGCGATGAACCGGTAAGGCGGATTATATCCGTTGTTGCCAAACACGAGTACATGATATTATTATTGAGACAGGGCGGTACTCAAACTTCCAAAGGGCTATAACTTTGTTACTTTAATTTTACCAGAAAAATGGTAAAGGAAAAAAACATTTCTTTTGATCAGATCTACTCACTGTTAAAATAAATGACTCAACTTCGAAGTCACCCTGTATAGTCCCAATTACTGCTTCGAGAAAGGTCGGGTGAACCACAAAGCGACATCTAGAATATTGGAGGTCACTTCGCGTCGATCTAGAAGGCGATCCACTGGCACGGTACTCACAGACGCCGCCAGTCGTGGTTCGCGTAAATGCAGAGATCGGCCATTAAGCTCTGGCGAGTAGGAGACTCGCCCAACAGATGGCGCTATTTGTCACAATGTTATTTGGGGTCAAAATAGAATCGCTGGGGACTACCCGCTAACCTTAGCGCCAAATTGATAACGAACTCGAAATTCGGAAACTTGACAAATATTATATTGAAAGTAACGGTTGCAACCTGACAAGTTGCCGTTACTGTGCTATACAGGGTTATCCAAATTAAGTGTCCACCATTAGTAACTTTGTTATTAGCGAAAATACAAAGTTGTTTGAATTAGCAAACTAGTAGCATTTTTAACGATGGTAAAAATGAGAAATAAAAAAAACAATTGAGAGTCGTTTTTTTGATTTTTTTCAGTAAAATAACATTTTTTTAAATGGAAACCCCTGTATATTATATTTTTTTCTGTTAAAGCATCAAATTTTAAACAAAAAAGCTTACAATAACTTTTCTCCTAGGTTACAAATTGTTGAAGTTATGGCCTCCAATCTGAAACAATTAAATTGTATCGACAAACTTTATTTTCAACATCAACTTATAATCTTACAAAATACAATAACATTTTTTTTTAAAGAAGATGCTCGAAAACACCACCTTGTTCTTCAATACATTTTTGGGCACGTTTTTCAACTGCTCGAACTGTCTTAAGTATGGTCCTACCATCTATCTGGGTTATCTTTTCCCTAACTGCAGTCTTTAACGCGTCAAGGTTATCGTACCTTCGCTTGTAAATTTGGTTCTTTAAGTAACCCCACAAGAAGTAATCAAGTGGGTTTAGATCTGGTGATCTGGGAGGCCACTGTATTGGGCCATTTGTTCCTATCCACTGATCATTAAAAGTAGTACTTAGAAAATGATAAGTACCTCTGGAGTTGTGGGCAGGTGCGCCATCTTGCTGAAAATGCAGATGATGTCTACTTATAAGATCCAATTCGTCTAAGAAATTAGTCAGAATTTCTGACATAAATTCCACATATCTTTCACCAGTTAGGGTTCCCTCATAAAAGAACGGGCCAACAATTTTTGAACCAATTATACCGCACCAAACGTTGAAACTGAAACGGACTTGTGGGCCTCTTGGATGTACTAACAAAAGATTTTCTCTTGACCAATAATGGTGGTTTTTTCTATTAAACATTCCAGAATTTGAAAAATTTGATTCATCTGTCCATAAAAGGTAACGAAAGTTATTTACATTTTGGCGACAGAAGCTAAGATACCAATGGCAAAAAACAAGTCTTCTCTCTGGATCCCCTGCCAAAAGCGTTTGAACTGGTCGGTACTTATACGGAATAAATTTGTATTTTTTTAAAATCCTTTGAACAGTACCATAACTGAAATTAGAGTCCTTGAGAATATCTGCTATTGAATTCTCACGATAAGCTTCAAAATATCCAATAACTGCAATTTCCGTGGCCTCGCTTATTATGAATTCTTTTTTTGCCCTTGTTTTAGCAAAAACATTTTCGTTGCCCCTAAATTTTCGATAAAGTCTCAGAAAATATCGTTCATACGGTTGAATGCGAGCGGGATATAATTCACTGTAGTATTCTCTTGCTCTCAAGGAGGATTTTCTGCACACTAAATAGCATTCTAACATATCACACTTTTCTTCATGGGAGAACATTTTTCTTTAAATTAATGACACAATAAAGCTTATAAACAAGTATTTACACTAATGTTTGACATTATTTGATTTTATCATTGTTTTCCAAAGCCTTCTAGTTGCGAGTATGTCCAGTTTAACAATTTGTCGCTTATCTTAATGCTGTCAAATCGCGAACGCCATGTTGTTTTCATAGCCGTCTTAATATTATAATACTGCAAATAATTAAAAATATTTATCGTTATTTTGACTTTATTTTTGACTTTAGCGGAAAAGTCATTATGAACTTTTTTGTTTAAAATTTGATGCTTTAACAGAAAAAAATATAATATACAGGGGTTTCCATTTAAAAAAATGTTATTTTACTGAAAAAAATCAAAATAACGACTCTCAATTGTTTTTTTTATTTCTCATTTTTACCAGCGTTAAAAATGCTACTAGTTTGCTAATTTAAACAACTTTGTATTTTTACTAATAACAAAGTTACCAATGGTGGACACTTAATTTGGATAACCCTGTATAATATGCTATGAATCATCTCTCTTCTAGTTTTTAAACACAACCGCTACTCGGAGGGTACAAGAAACTGGCGTTTAAAAAGTTGTGAATGCACTCCTTATTCTAGAAGCCGTATACATCTCTATAGTCAATGTAATCAATGGACGTAAGTCTATGATAAAATCACGATGTCAGGAACATAATAACAACAAACCTATACTATGATTTTGCGAAGTTAGGTTATTTCACAGATTATTTTTATTTTCATTTTACTTCATGGTTTTGAGTGATACCTTAATAATAATTTAAGTGGGGAGGTTTTGTTTTGAAAAAAACTACAGTTAGAATACCTCAAGACAGGAACACCAAAGACCAAAGTATTATTCGAAAACAACCTAACCTGCTTTAACATAACCTAACTATTCATCTTTCAAATATGATCATGCAACTTGAAAACATCGTCTATCTTTGTCGGATACATGCAAATTAGCAATACAGTTTGTTTAGATAATAAAATCATGTCTGCCTCTGTCTAACATATCTGAAACTTCATTAAAAATATTCACAAATCGCTGTTGTTTGTCTATACTATAGACTAAAATGATGACGTAATCGTCATCTTTCGTGATTTCGACTATAGATGTCCGCCCAAAATGTATAGCACATTCACCATATATTCAAAAGCAGGTTTCTTGCCTATGCTACTATCAATGTCTCCACCAAAAATACGGAGCAAAACACCGTTTAGCACCTGCACCCGCAGGGCGTGGGGGCACCCTCTGAGAATGGGGCTTTGCTTATTTGGCATGATTGTGTGAATAATTATGAAAATTTGCTACCCCGCTCTTCAGGGACAGGTACACTTTCACAAAAAGTTATCTCTCACCGATGACCGGCCCCCTGACACTAAGCGAGTATAAATGCATCACATTTATTCAGCATGTTTACTTGTGAAACTTTGTACATCTTGACGGTTGGAGCTGCCCATACACCTTAAGAACACCAATTTGTAAATCAGAAAATAGCTTTCTCAAAGCTGCAGTATAAATGATATCATCGTAGACCATGTTTAGTATTTTTGTTGTGTGATCGGTCGATAGCTCTATTATTTTAAAAGATATCTAAAAAAGTTGTTTACAAAAATTACTACTGTACGCTCCTTGTTTGGAAAATATGCCGCTCTTTACATGGTGATTCATAACTACGTGAAAAAACACAAACGAACAGTTTTTTAAATGGAATACCATGTATATCTTAGTATATTCTAAAATGCCGTCAAATGGGGAAGTCTGATATAGAGCACTATTGGGTTTGGATCACTATTTTTGGAACTACGAGAAGTTTTGTCCGAAAAAGCATTTAACTTCGACAGCTTGTAGGTCAGTCACTCCTGCAGATACAGACTTTTCGTCTGATATCCAATCATTTTTCGATATTCAAACAATTTTAAAATTTTGTGCATTATCTATACAGGGTGTCAATATACGCAGGATATATTTTTTCGCAAAAAAATTCAAATGCTACACCCAATACGTTTTTATAGTTTTGGATTATCCTTCTTATGAACTTTATTTTATATTAAATTTCTTGGCGGGTAACTTACTTAAGGTATTTGTAGTTTTCTAGAAATTAAAATTCAAAATAAATAAATACTACAAGATTCGTGGAAACGAAGGAATCTCGAATCGTGTGATATTTATCCAATTCGACTTGTATTTCTGATAAAGAGCAATAACATTCCGCACTTTGACCCCCAACTGCAATAACATTTAGCAGTTTAACCGCCAAAACATTTACATTAAAGTAAAGCTTGTGAGAAGGGCCATTCCAAATCGTCAAAATATACAGCGTGTTCCATTTGAATTGTTTGTGAAAAGGTACATTTTGAGTTTATAAAAACCCTGTATAGACGATGCACAAAAGAAACTATGATATACAAGTGCGCCATCTTTTATGTCGGTATTTAAACATGAAATAACTTTTAAAACGAAAAACTGATTTCCATATATCGGTTATTTTTATTAAATATGGTCCTTTACAATTTATTGGGACTTGAACACAACATCTATCAAGTGGCCACCTTTATTGGCCAAAACAAAATGTGCCCGTTTTGCTGCATTTTCCATTACTTTTTCGAGCACCTCTGGTGGTATATTTGCCTTGAGTTCTTCAGTGGTCTGCGGCTTGCTGGCGTTGACTTTTCAAATAACCCCACAAGAAGAAGTCCGGTGGGGTCAGATCTGGAGACCTGGGTGGCCTGTCAATGGATCAGACGTCCAGGGAATTTTCGTTGCAGAAACTGGATTGTTTTATTTGCAGTGTGGCATGGCGCACCGTCTTCTTGAAACCAGTAACTATTAAGACCTTTTTCACGCATTTGTGGGCAGACATAATTAGCCAACGTCCACCGATATCGATTTCCATCGACTCTTTCGTTTTCGTTGAAGAAAAATGGCCCAATGATGGTTTTGGCACAAACAGTCACCTTCCGGTCATGCAACGGCATTTCGTGGATCTCATGTGGATTTTCCGTCCTCCAAATGCGGCAGTTTTGCTTATTAACAGCGCCAGAGAGCGTGAAATGGGCCTCGTCGGTCATCACAATTTGCTTCCAGAAATCAGGTTCAGCAACAACCATGCGAGCCACTGATTGGGCGTATTCCAAGCGACGTGGATGGTTAGTTGGCAATAGTTTTTGAGTTAACTGCACCTTATAAGGAAACAAATGCAAATCATCCTGCAAAATGCGCCGCAACGTGGTTCCACTGATGCCAAAATGCTGAGCGCGGTGACGATACGCCACTTTTGGGTTCTGGGAAATGCGGTATGTTGACGATGTCCCACTGTCCCGTACTCATTCGAACCAAACGACGGATAGTGTTGTCAGACGGTGCCTGTTTGCCACGATATTTTCGACGATATGCACCTTTTGTTAACACATCTGAAGGATGATTTTCAATTTACCTACATTGTGACTATTTCGGCGCGTGGTTTCGGTGTAAAGCAATTCATGACCAAATCACTCGGTTGGTAAATATAAAAATCATTCGATGTTTCAATACCGACATAAAAGACGGCGCACCCGTTATAAAGATCATTTTGCGACTGCAAAAGTGCAAGCTGTCTAAGTTAAGTCAACATCTCACGTTGCTCCAGAAGTATTGATCCAAGCCCTATGCTATATCAAACGTCTTGCTTTGTGGATGCGTTTTAGAATATACTTAAGTATATAAGATATTCCATTTGAGAAAGTGCATATTTGTGTTGCCGCGTAGTTATGAGTCACCCTGTGCAGAGCGGCATATTTTCCAATGATTCTATATTTACATAATTTGTTTACATATCATTTATAATATACAGGGTGTTCATTTGGAAAATTCCCACCACGGATTTATGGAAAACTACTGATTAAAGGAAAAGACACGTCAAAAGATTTGTCAAGGGGGGCAACTTTTTAACCAAAAACTACTTCACCTCCTTTCACCCTCGGCCCCCCACGGTCATTCCCTTAAAAATTTTAAATGACAAGATGTATCGAATGATAGCTTGTTTGGAAGGTCTTTCGAGTCCTTTACCTTTGCCCCTACTGAGCGAGGGCCGTGGCAAATGCTTGTTCCGGAAGTTGTTGTATCCAGTATACAACTTCTTCCCGTCCAAGTGATTGTGCACGCGTTAAGGAATACCTCAGTACCGATTGCCGGGTGGCGGTACAAGTCCGCCAACGGGCCACTTTAGGTCTATTTAACATCACTAACACGTAAAAAGAAGGTGGTAGACAAGGACCAGTCGACCGAGGCAGTACCACCCGCTAGCTTTTCCCAGGGTGTCTTATAAATGTCCGCATGTTACCACACCTAAGCTATGCAGTCGGTTATCTACCAAAACACAGAAATTAATGATGATGGATCCCTCGAGCACTACAAACTCCGGACGTAAACTCACTCCACTCTCGGAATGTCCGGGTGGAGGGTGGGCTCGAGGGAACAACATCGAAGATAAAATTTGTTTTTTGAACATCTGCGGGATCAACAGCAACATTGATGCTGTTCATCACTACCTGCAATCCAATCGTCCCGCCGTGCTTTTCTTGGCGGAGACAAAAATCTCAGAGACTGCACCGATTAACCATCTCAACTTCCCAAACTACGAGGTGCACTCCAATCTGAGAAAGAACGGGGGAGTTGTGGCTTTTGTCCGCAGCAGTCTTTCCTGCTCCAGGGATCTTTCTTTGGAATCAGACCGGAAGGACATTCTGTGGCTTCGCCTCAACTCCAAAACATCACCCAAATTTATTTGCTGCCTTTATCGCTCTCCCTCGAACCATAACTGGGATGACCTACTCGAATACCTCGCCGTCCAGATCGACTTCCTGAACATCAATCACCCCGCTTCAGAGGTAGTTCTTCTCGGTGATTTCAATGCCCATAATGAGCTTTGGTTGGGCTCAAATAAGACCGATGCAGCAGGTCGTGCAGTCGAAGCGTTCGCTCTTACTCAAGGGCTGACCCAGCTGGTGACGAGCCCTACTTTTTTCCCCCGCGTCTCGTCACACGCCAGTAGCCTGCTGGATCTCTTTCTGACCACGCATCCTGCCCCTTACAGCACTGCCGTCCTGTCCCCCCTGGGTAACTCAGATCACGGTGTTGTGGAGGTTAGGTTTCGGTCAGAAGCCGCTGTGGCCGCAGAAACTCGCACAGGCCGCAAAACTTGGCATTACGGACATGCCGACTGGGAGGGGCTCAGAGACTTCTTCTCTAGCTTTCCTTATAGAGATGTCTGTTTCACTGACGCAGATGCGTCGACTGTCTGTTCTTCAATAACTGAAATTATCCACGTCGGAATGGAGGAATACATCCCTCACACAGTGAAAGTTCCTAAACCAGGGTCCAACGGCTGGTTCAACAAATCGTGTGACACTGCTCGCCAGCAGAAGATCAAGGCCCACAGAACCTACTTACAAAACCCCACTGTAGAGAACAGACAAGCCGACGTCGAGTCCAGAAACAAATATAACGAAGCGGTTCGCAATGCCAAAAACCAGCATGATATAAAAGTTAGGCACAGGGTAATGTCGCAGCGCAATGGCAGTCGGTCTTTCTGGACGCTGGCCAAGCAGATTGAAAAGAACTTCTCACACAGTAGCCTTCCACCACTTACGTGTCAGGATGGAACTATTGTATTCGACTCAAAGGCCAAGGCGGAAGTGCTAGCCAAGATCTTTGCTGCCAACTCCACCATGGACGTCCCCACCAACGCCCAAGTGCCGTCAATTCAAAGGGTTCCCCACACTATGCGGGAAGTAACATTCAGGCACAAGACCGTAAGACGAGTGCTCTTGTCGCTCGACATCAACAAAACTTCTGGTCCGGACTTGATTCCTGCCATTGTACTGAAGAGATGTGCAGCGGAGCTTGCTCCAGTTCTTTCGCGGCTCTTCCAGATATCTTATGAATCCGGCACCTTCCCAGAAAATTGGAAATTTGCTCATGTACAGCCCATCCCAAAAAAAGGATCTAAAACCGACCCTTACAACTACAGGCCTATAGCTCTGCTTTCTGTTATAAGTAAAGTGATGGAGAGGTGCATAAATCGCGAGCTTCTGGACTACCTCGAACGTCACAGCTTGATTAGCGACAGGCAGTACGGTTTCCGGCACCAACGATCCACAGGGGACCTCCTAGCTTACGTCACGCAACTGTGGAGTAAACTCATCCAGTCTCATGGTGAGGCTCATGTCGTTGCTCTTGACATCACGAAAGCGTTCGATCAGCTGTGGCACGCTGCCCTCTTAAGCAAACTTCCATCCTACGGCCTCCCAGAAAAGCTTTGCAGATGGGTGGCTGACTTTATCTCTGGCCGCAAGATATCCGTCGTAATTGACGGATTCTCCTCTTCATCCCACAACGTCAACGCGGGTGTTCCCCGGGGATCGGTCTTGGCTCCAACACTGTTTCTCTTACATATCAACGACCTCCTTTCCTGCACGATCAACCCAATCCACAGCTTCGCTGATGACAGCACTCTACATGCAGGAATTCAGAGTGACAAGCCGATCTCTGCCGCTGAGCTGGAAAAAAGAAGACTAGCGACGACTTCTTCTCTGACAAGAGACCTGGAGGCTATCACTGCTTGGGGACGCAACAATCTTGTACAGTTCAATGCTTCCAAAACACAGTACTGTACCTTGACGAACAAAAAGCGTCCTAGCGCTCATACAGTTTCGATGGACGGTCGAGTTCTACCAAAGAGCCATTCATTTCGGCTGGTCGGAGTCCAGATCACCGAGGACCTGATCTGGCACGAACACATCTCTTCAATAGCTGCAGCTGCTGGGAAAAAGCTAGGCTATTTGTTTAGGGCTAAGAAGTACTTTTCTCCGCATGACCTTCTCACTCTATACAAGGCCCAGATAAGGCCTAGCCTCGAGTATTGCTCACACATTTGGGGTGCTGCCGCCCCGACTACATTGTCCATGCTCGATGCTGTCCAGAGGAGGGCGGTCCGACTGATCGATGACTCTTCTCTAACAGACAGTCTCGGGACTCTTTCGCACCGGCGGGCCGTCGGCGATCTAGCTCTTTTCTATCGCTACACCAACGGGCTTTGCTCCTCAGAGCTCTCTTCCATGATGCCGCCGCGCGATGCGCCTGCCAGACAGACCCGCCTGACTTCGGCATCCCATCCTAACCGTGTCAAACTTCGTACATCCAGAACTGGCCGATACGACCGCTCCTTTGTCCCGAGGGTGTCTAGATTGTGGAACAATCTACGGGAGGAAGCTTTTCCCAGTTCTACTAACCTTAGGCAGTTCAAAAATCGTATTAACAAAATTTCTTTGGGATCATCATAGCAGCCGCGGTGTTCCGGCATTTAGGCTTCTGCCTGCGCGGCTGTTTCGATATAAAAAAAAAACCTTGACGTTTGATTTTTGAATCAGTAAATTTGTTTTCGAGAAAATTGGAAAAATCTTTATTCATCTTAATTTGTTCAGACAGAAATCAGAAACAAACGAAAATATCACTTTTTATTTCAATAAATGTCCGTCAGGAAATTGAACAACGCCTATATGATTGTTTCGCCAATAATGGGCAATATTTTGAACATTTATTGAAATAAAAAGAGATATTTTCGTGTGTTTTTGTTTTCTATCTGAACAAATTAAGATAACTAAAGGTTTTTCTAATTTTCTTGTAAACAAATCCACCGATTTTAAAAAATCAAACGTCAAAATAAAGGACTTTGGAAGACCTTCCAAACAACCTATTACTCGATACCCCTTGTCATTTGAAAAGGGATGGGCAGAGGGTGAAGTAGTTTTTGGTTAAAAAGTTGTCCCCCTTGACAAATCTCTTGACGTGTCTCGGCGTTTTTTTTAACCAGTGGTTTTCTATAAATCCATGATGGGAAGTTTTCAAATGAAAACCCTGTATGTACCATGTATGATGTTCCGACAATATGGTACTTGACAACATCAAAAATTCGTTGTGGATAGTGCTATTATTCCATTGTTTTATTTCAGCATTGCCAAAGGTGGTTCCAGAATACAGACCGGAAGCACCAGTGGTGCGAAGACGCGAACCTCTGCCGTATATGTTCTGGCAAGAAGAGCAAGAATGTGCGCCTAGCTTCACCTTCTTGCTACGTCCTCGTGTTATGCAGGAAAGAGATACTTGCAAACTGCTCTGCTGCCTGAGCGGAAAACCGTTCCCAACTGTCAAATGGTATGTAAAAAACTGGCAAAATGGTACTTTAAGAGAATCATTTAAATACAGCGTGCCAATAATCCTAAGGTTGAAAGTACATCCAAAAATAACAAAAAAAAGTTCCTATAAATATGGATCCAAAGATGCTCCCCTACTGAGGTAGATGATGAAAAAAAAGCTACGAAGCGGGTGAAGATACTGGGTTAAGATTTTATACGTTCAGTCAGCACATCATCGGCAATAAACACAAACCAGGAACGCAGAAACTCGGGTACCTGGACCCCTAGTAGGAAATATTTTCTACGCCGGAGAAAAGTGCACCATATGAAATACCATTCAACCTCCGACGAGGAGTTGAAAGGGGCAGTTACCAAGTTTCCAAGTGGGCTGGCGGCGGGAGTGAAAAAGTGGATTCCACGTCTAAAAAAATGCGTTGAAAAATGGCGACGATGAAAAAAATGTAGGAACCACAGTTTTGAGACAACCCTCGTATGTGGTGTATATGAGAGCAATCCTAACTGACCGTGGCATTATTTGAACAATTTTCATCAATGGCATGTAAATTTATATCTTGGTAATATTCATATGAACGTTTTTGTTATTTTTTTGATGTACTTTCTGTTTTAGAAATATTTCTATTGGTTCTTGAAAAACCTTGTGTACACGCATGATACGCTCAAGTAGTTTTCTTACTATTGTCATCAAAACTATACCCCATTCGTAGTCCATTTACGCCCAGACAAAACACATGCCCAAAAGCGAGATTGTACAGGTCCGTATTTTCCTCAATGGTCTTGAAATACAACTACAAAATAAATGATCATTTTTGTAGAAAGAAGTTCACAAACTTTAAACAATTCTTTATTCACTGGAAGCACTTGAATCATCGTCGGAATGGTTAATATTAATTATTACAGGTTCAATTTGTATACCGATCATATTATCCAGATCCCACATCTTTTTTTCGATTGTCCTTTGAACGTGACGGATGCAATCTTTCCAATGCGTTGCCATCACTCTGTTGACAGCTTCATAAAACAAATTTTTCACATCAGAAAATTTGAATGTTCTATTGTTTGAAGCCACATAGTTTTTTATATTTACCCAACTCATTTCAATGGGATTTAATCCGCTGTGATAAGGAGGTAGCCTTAAAACTGCCTTATTTTGGTTTTTAGCCATTTCGTCAATAACGTATTTATATTTGCCTGACTAGATGGATAAGTTCTGCTTTGACCATATTTTTATTGAAACTAATGTCTTTTGATAGGAGCCATTGTTGAATTTCTGCGTTTCTTGTGAACACTGTGGGAATTTTTTCTAGTTTTCTAGTGTGGTATGCAGCATTATCAAGTACAATGACGGCATTATCGTCAAGCTTTGGGGCGTTTCTTCAAACCATCGTTCAAATGAACTCCCGTCCATTTCTTCATGGCAGCCTTTTTCTTTGACTCAAATGCCCATAGGGCAGTTTACACAAAGCCATCTTCACTACCAATGTGACAGAAAACAAGGTTTTCCTTTTTCTGGAAATAATTATTTCACATATTATTCAAGAAAACTAATAATACAAGCAGAGTATATAACAGGTGTTGGTTCCAAACCTACCAGCTAAGTTTTCAGCGTGGGCTCATAGATTCAGTCTACTTGACACCATTTTTACAACACAAATGACGAATGGTTAGATACACGTACCTGACGGATTCTTTAGGCCAGAGGTTAGTCCATCTAAGAAGGCTTGTCTTGCTGATTTAATTGTAGAGTCAGCCCATACTTTAGGTTTTGTATGTCCTGTATTCATCCAGGTTTCATCCAAGTAATAAATCTTCCTGCCCTGGTCGCGGTATTTCTTTATTGATTTTAAATAATTTCTTCTCCATAAAATAATCTCTTGGCTGTTCATCAAAATGCTATTTCTGCCCCGTTTTCTATGCTCAAATTGAAGTTCTTTGAGTAAACTATAGAATGTGGTCCTTTTGAAAGTAGGTAAGTCTTCATCACTATTAACCTCCTGTAATACTTTGTCTATGGTTGGAAGTTCCTGTCTTTCAAAAAATTGATGGACTTTGCGCCTGATGGCGATCAAAGTTATCAAGGCTTCGTTTAATGCAGCCTCTTGTGTGGTGGAGACAATTTGCGTGAGGTTTCACAAAGGACCAAACGTGTGTATTATGAACATTGGTTATCCCATTACTGTTTTGCTTTTTCCTGTTAAGTGTTTCTGCAATTGTCCAATTTCTTGCAGGTACAAGGACAAACGCGAACTTAGCAAATACGAATACTCGATGTCCCATTCAGACGGCGTCATAACCATGGAGATAGTCGGTTGCAGACCATCAGACTCCGGCAAATACACATGCGTGGCGACCAACAAACACGGCACTGACGAAACCTCCTGCGTGGTTATAGTAGAAGGCGAAACAAGCACACCCGAGCAATCTGCATTAGCAAACAAACTGCTACACTCTGGAGATAGAAAGTATATAGAACAACCTATCAAACCTGCTCCGATACCAGTCACTATCAAGAGACCCGTTCCTGCATCCAATCCTGTGAATCCACCTAGTCCAATTCAACCTAGGTCTAACAACCCAAGTACCACGAGCTTAGCGAGGTCTTCTTCTAACCTAAGCGTTGAAGGTGATAAGAGGGCTAGAAAATACGGACGGCTTGACTCCACAGGAAGCCCGAATAGATCTAGGAGTGCTACTAAAGAACTTGCATGTAAGTACCCCGCGAACGATACACAGTTGTACCACTCGCCAACACCAATTACGATTTATCATTTTTTTTTTTTGGCATTGGACATTGTTTCGCATTAGCCAGATCCAATCTTGTATATCTCTAATTATGGCTGATCAGTAACACGACACTCTGACCCACGCGGCCAACCGAGGTCCAACGATTTATCATAAATGTAGTGATCAAAGACTATATATTTTGCCTGTGTGACAGGGGCGTACCCAGGGGGAGGGGTAAAAAGCTCGGCAAAAATTAGATTATTCACGCGCAGGATTCTTCACAATTTCTTTTACAACAGAGTTACAGTTGTCTAGTTAGCCTGATCAAATAAGTTTTGCGTCGCTTTCAAATATTTTTTCGAATTGCACACTTCGTGTTGCTAGTGCTGTGTTTGGAGTTACACAAAAGTAACGGGATGATTAGAATTTGAAAAACGAGTTTTACCGGATTTCGAAATCTTCAAATCCTTCAAATAAACTCTTGTCAACATATGTCAACTAAGTCTGACTTCTTTCTGAATTTTCTCCTCTAAGGAAATTTTTGATTGCGTTCAAAATCATCAGAAACAAAAAAGAAAGATAAAGAGTAATTTTCTGCTTCCCCACCACCGCACCCTGTTTCAATTTTGAGGATATTTGCTTGAATGTTTCAAAAAAGTAATCCTAGTCGTTTTCCATATCCATATGAATTATTGTCAAATTATCGTGCAAGACTCTAAACAGGATGTTTCACAACTTATCCGACAGATTTTAACCACATATGCACTGTTACGAATGAAGTTGATTTCTCAAAAAAAAAAATGTAATAAAAGTCCTAAAGAAATCGAAATAATAAAATAATACAGTTCACTTACATATAAAAGATGTTCAAAATTGTTTCCATTGACTGCAATGCAAGCTTGGGCGCGTCTAATCCAATTTCGGCGCACTAATTCAAATACACCTCCTTCCCGCTGTGCCTGAAGGCTCATATTATCGGCAGCCACTTCGATTAGGTCACGCAATTCTTCAATATTCTGAACTGGAGTACGCTATACCTCATTTCCCACAAAAAGAAGTCTAGAGGATTTAGATCGGGAGACCGTGGAGGCCATGCAATTGGTCCACCCCTTCCGATCCAGCATATCTGTTATACCTGATTAAAAAAATTACAAACTTCTAAATGAAAAAGCGGAAGTGCCCCATCGTGCAGAACCCACATCTGTGCTTGGACCGCCAATGGCACATCTTCAAAAAGGACCAGCAAATCTCCGAAGAAATTCCGAATACTGGTGACCATCCATCCGATCTGGCAATATGAACGGTCCGATTAGACGTTCATCGACAATACCTGCCCTCTCGTTTAAAGAAAAACGATGTTGGTGTGTCTGGATCACTGCGTGAGGATTCTCAAAGGACCAAACGTGTGTATTATGAAGATTAGTTTTAAATTGCGTTGTGGGCGGACCCGACCCCCGTCCACTCCACGTCTGGGGCGCAAATCTCCACTAGCACGTGCACGTAAAACAATTGAACTAAATTTTTCGTGATGTGGTATGTGTCTATTCGGAAATCGGTGTGCATACAAACGAGAAGCCGCTCGCGAATTTTGCCCTGCTTCTGCGTACGCTAAAACAATGTCCACTAACTCCTCATTAGTGTACACATGTGCCATTTTTATTAATAAATAACTAAAAAATCTCAAAATAATTTCTTATTTAACTTCAAAAAAATCGACCATTCTTCTTTCAGATCACCCACGATACAGATTAAACCTTATTTACATTTATCAGTATGAGAAAACAAAAAATTCCTGGTATTTTGTTTTTTTCAGTTGTTTGGTACAACATTTGCTACAATAAATTAATAATGCGTGTTCTAATATCACAACGATGAACGCAAAATGCAGATATTCATTTCTCGATCTATTATTGGTTAGGTTTATAACCTAATTTCTGTAGGACTTTTATTAAATTTTTTTTGTTTTGAGAAATCAGCCTCTTTCGTAACAGTGCATAAAATATGTTTAAAATTTGTGTCGGATAAATAGATAAAGCAATGAAATGCAAATAGATGAAAAATGCACAGCTGAGTAGATATGATTTACTTCCACCAACAATTTTTTTCCGTTTTGAGCTGGGTACGCCCTTGCTGACCTTACGTAATTTTTGATTGTCAAATATAACTTTCAGTGCCACCAGACGAATCAATGGGACCGCCAGCATTCACTAAGACACTCTCAGACTTGACAGTTAATGACGGTGACAGCCTGACATTGACAGCACATGTAAAAGGAGACCCAGATCCACAAATCGTGTGGAGCAAGAACGGAAAAGCCCTCAGCTCATCAGAGGTAGTCGATCTCAAGTACAAGAATGGAATTGCCAAACTACACATCAATGAAGTATATCCTGAAGACGAAGGAGAATATGTCTGCAAAGCTACCAACTCCATGGGAGAAGTACAGACTAAGTGCAAGCTGACCATTAAACGTAAGTACTATTGCGAGAGAAAATGAGAATGGACGTACCTACTGTCTTTATTTAATGTTAGTTACCTTCTTTCCGTGGTCCTTTCTTGAACGTCTACTTAAAATGCCATGATAAACCCAATAACCAAAAAAAAAAATAAATAAAAAGCGCTTAAGTTTCGTTTTTTTTTTTTTTGACGAATTACGATCCGGGAACAGGCGGTTTAAACTCCTGAGGCTTCTGAAAAAGCTGAGACGGGCAATCCCAAATCGTCATAGGAAAAAATTCAACAAAGCGTAAGAGTGTACCACGACAATGCGCATCCTCATGTCTCACAGTTAGTTAACTTGCATCAACAAAGTCTCTTTAACTTCTCCGTAACAGTCCAAGTACCAATAAGGTTTTGATTATAAGGTGAATAATAGGGACAAAATAAGAGGGTTGTTTCAAAAATAAGGTTACAACGCTGTAATTTTGCCAGCAACACCGTCGTGTTTCCCACCACCAATCCCAACAAGAAGCGCCTATTTGCGATGCTCAGTACGGATCCGACAGCCATGCGCAATAGAGTTTTTCATCACCGTCATCGCCAGGTGCGAAATTCGTGCGGTCATCCGATTTTTGCACGCGAAAACGTTACCACCCATAGAAATGCATCGCCAGTTGAGTGAAGTATATGAGAAACGTATACAGGGTGACTTTGAAGTTGAGTCATTAATTTTCAGATAATGATTGTAGAAGGAAGATACACCAAAATATGTGTGTAAAAATAAAAAAAAAATTAAAAAAAAATGCTACCTTGTTTTATAAAGTATCCTCCCGACAAGTATTTCAGTGCGGACCTGTATTTGATCGTGAGGTCTTGGAGCACCGGCAGGCCCTCCCCTGTAAAGTCTTAAGTCTCCTGATTCACGAGCCCTTTGTACTATATTAACAAAGGCACAAGTGGTTGGTTGCACTCGATTGGGAAACCGATTCGCACAAATCCGTGATGCCGCGGCAGCATTTTGTAAATAAGAATCATGTCCACAAGTTCAGCATTTTCGTAAACATGTGCCATTTTTTATTTCGTTTGAGCCACGCAACAAACACCACTATTCACTCACGCGTTACCGACTGACGAAAAACATTTCAAATTCTTTCGCTTTTTTGTTTCCGATGCGATGAACCGATAACGCGGATTATATCCGTTGTTGCCAAACACGAGCACATAATATTATTATTGAGACAGGGCGGTACTCAAACTTCTAAAGGGCTATAACTTTGTTACTTTAATTTTACCAGAAAAATGTTAAAGGAAAAAAACATTTCTTTTGATCAGATCTACTCACTGTTAATATAAATGACTCAACTTCGAAGTCACCCTGTATAAGCATTCAACATGTCCTCAGGCGATTGAAATTCCTGAGGCTTCAGAAAAATCTGAGACGGCAATCCAAAATCGTCGTAGCGGAAAACTGTCCAAAGCGTAAGACTGCATCACGACAATGCACATCCTAATGTCCCACAACAAACGAAGGACTGAATTGAGCGATTTGGCTGGGAGGTCACTGCCCATCCCCCTTACAGGCCTGACAAACTGTTTCCGAAATTGAAGGAGCACCTAGGCGGTCAACGGTTCGAGACGGACGAGGAGTTGCAAGAAGCAGTTACCAAGTTTAATCACTAACACGCAAAAAGAAGGTGGTAGACAAGGACCATTCGACCGAGGCGGTACCACCCGCTAGCTTTTCCTAGGGTGTCTTATAAATGTCCGCATGTTTCCACAAATAAGCTATGCAGTCGGTTATCTTCCAAAACAAAGAAATTAATGATGATGGATCCCTCAAGTACTACTCCGGACGTAAACTCACTCCACTCTCGGAATGTCCGGGTGGAGGGTGGACTCGAGGGAACAACATCGAAGATAAAATTTGTGTCACGAACATCTGCAGGATTAAGAGCAACATTGATGCTGTTCATCACTACTTGCAATCCAATCGTTCCGCCATGCTTTTGTTGGCGGAGACAAAAAACTCAGAGTCTGCACCGATTAACCATCTTAGCTTCCCAAATTACAAGGTGCACTCCAATCTGAGAAAGAACGGGGGAGTGGTGGCTTTTGTCCGCATCAGTCTTTCCTGCTCCAGAGATGTTTCTTTGGAATCAGACCGGAAGAACCTTAGGCAAATCAAAAATCGGATTAACTAAATTTCTTTGGGATCATCTCAGCAACCGCGGTGTCCCAGCATTTAGGCTTCTGCTTCTAAGCGAATAGCTTAAAGATTACCGTTTCCAGTAGTGAATTCGTTTTTTCAAATAAAAAATTCCCTGTGCCTGAAAAAAACATGGGAACCTTTTTTTTAAACAACCCTCGTCTGTTGACCTACTGTATGCTATTAATGTATTTACTTTTTAGCAATGACAAACAACGTGGACGGTAAAAAGAAAAGCGAGGACAAACCACCAAAGATCGTTAGCCACCTAGAGTCAGCCTTCGTGAAAGACGGAGAACCAGTAACGCTTTCTTGTCGCATCATAGGAGCTGATAAGTTCGATGTGGTATGGCTACACAACAACAAGGAGATCAAACCTTCCAAGGACTTCCAATACACCAACGAGGCAAACATCTACAAATTGGTCATCGCTGAGATATTCCCGGAGGACTCGGGAGCCTACACTTGCGAGGCGTTCAACAATGCAGGAGAAAGTTTCAGCAGTTGTACATTGAATGTTGTTGCTCCAGGAGAACAGCCCAAGAGTCCAGTTTTCAAAACATTCCCGACTTCCGCTACGGTAAGATACATTTACCCAGTTCGTAGATACACAGTTGGGACTTTCGTTTTCAAAAACAACTGCGTTTAAAATAATAAATATCAGCCAAAAAGTAAAAAAAATGAAAAATTCGCACTGTTAATTTATGTTGAATGGATATAATCTATGTTTAAGTGATGAAAGTTATCACAAACTTAACCGCGCAAACAAAATTGCTTTTAGCATGTATACTTTATCTGAAGTCACTTGAAATAGCATAAAAACCTTTGGTCGGCGCGTCCTTTGTAATTTCATGACGTATCATACGCGTGCCGTCATTTATTTAGAACGATAATAATAATGTTTTTATATCACAATAAATGGATTTTCCTATCTTCTTATTTTTTGATTTGGGATAAAAAATACTTATTTTGGGAGTTTAATTTATGTTGACTGAAAGTTAAGAAATGGAAAAATTACAGAATTCCAACGTTTGACATAGGCAAACATTTATATAGCAGGTAGGTATATAAAAAGGTATATAAAGACTTACATTATAGGTATTTATATATCATCCTCACCTTCGGAGCTGTCGCTAGAGTCATCTTGTAGAGGAATTACAACGGGATTTACAGGAGGCAAAACACAATAGTCATTTTCTTTTTCAATAATATGCCTAGAACACTGCTTCCATAGGTCTGTGGCAGCAATATGAGATACTGCATCTCTTATTGTGGCCAATAGCGATTCACTTAATTGAGGGGTCTGATTATGTTTTCTTACTTTTTTTTAAAGCAGCCCAGACCAACTCAATCGGGTTAAAAATGCAGTAATAGGGAGGTAGACGTAATGCTTCATGGCCATTTTGCTGAAGCAGATTGTCAACAACATACTCTTTTTCAAATTTTTGTCTTTTAATAAGATCCAATAATATGGCTTTGGTTGATTTTTGTGGTATTTCCATTCCCTTATCCTTCATAAAATCAATAATGTCTTGTTTTTTTGTGCCTGTATTCGGAATTTTGTTTTTCTGTCGGGAATGGTATGGCGCATTGTCCATAATAATCACTGAATTTGGGGAAATGTTTGGTATTAACTGCTGCTCTATCCACTTTTCAAATAAGTCGGAGGTCATGTCCTCATGATAGTCGGCACATGATTCTTTGATATTTTTGGCAGATAACAGCAAGGCATTAGGTATAAATCCATTTTCACTGCCAGCATGGAGAATAATGATTCGTTTTCCACGGTTGCATGGTGCATTTAAAATGCACTTGTTGCTGTCGTCAACCCAGCCGTACTGCTCAACATCATGGGTATCATACCACGTTTCATCCAGGTAAATCAGATTTCTTTTCTGCTCTCTATAGATTTTAACTTTGTGCAAAAATTCTTGGCGCAATTCAACGATTCGAGACGACTCCATAATCACCATTCTTTTATCTAATTTTTTGTATTGAAAACCACACAGTTTTACAATACTGTGCAGTGAGTCTAAGCATTTGTAATTATAAAAAATCTTCAGGATAATCTTTTAATTTATCCCGTATCATTTCCAACGTGGGCACCAAATTTTCTTTATAAAATCCGGATATTATACGACGAATATCTTCCTGAAAACCCACGTCTATTCTTTTTAATTTTTGCCCTATGTGCTTCCTGTGGAAGGAATGGTTGACTACATCTCCCCTTTTTATAACCCGATAAATGGTAGACCGACTGATTTTTGTCAGGATACAAATTCTGTTTAAAATTTGATTTTGCGAGGAATCTGGATTTTCGTTTTCAGACAATCCTACATATTTAGGATTACTCTTTGGGTCTGTTCCTCTAAATCTTTATGAAAGAATTCTGCCTACACAGGTTCATCAACCATCTCCTCGTGGCTTGGAGCATTTCCCAAGGTCTCCAAAGAGCCATATTTAGGACACACAAGAACAATCAACACAACAATTAAATCAACAAGTAAACTCAGTATTCAAACGTCAAAAACACACAAACTAATAAAATCTATGAAAAAACACGGACAGACTAAAGAAAACACGTTTATTCACCGCTACACGGCACTGAAACTGTTTCAATTTTCAGTAGCCACCTGCACTTGTTCGGAGCTCTGAAATACACGCTTTCTCATTGGCTATGTCCACGCATAGGCGTGCTTTACTCCACGTGGACCGGTGAAACTGCCTTTGCTGCGAAATTTGGCGATTTTTGCAGTAACAGAGCGTGTTAAATATAGATATATAAAACGCACCCGGTATTTCACAGTGTTTCAAGTGACTTCAGATAAAGTATACCTAGGTATTCAGCTTCTTCAGAAAAAAGAAGTGTCTTTGATCGCTGATAAGTCTACAGCAAAGTCGGCAATCAAATGCTGTTCGAAGATGTCGCCGTTCGATCGGAAAGCACAATTGTTCTCAGGTTGCAACATCCGACAGCGGTATAACGTATATTTAAAAGCGTGGCAATTTTTACATTACAGGGTATTAATAAAGTATGTAGACAAACTTTAACCATCGAATCCTTGGTCAATTTAAAGCCTAAATGTTCATATGAACATGGGTCCATTTCTTTTCGGGCTAGAGCAGTAGAGCACTATCACTAAAGAAATACGAGTAATGTTCCAAATATTTCTCTGAATAATGAAACGTATTTATTGAACAGTTGGTATAACCTGTGATAAAGTTTGCATGTTTTACAAGTTGCTGAGGCTCAATATGAACGTGGATGAAATTAGTATTATCCTGTATTTTTGGAAAAAAAATATTTATAAGGTCAATAGTTTCGAACAGTAACATTCGAATAGAACGACAACAATAGAAAATATCGAATAGTTTTTTTTTACAATAAATGTTCAAAGTGGCCACCTTCGAGTTCAGTATACATTGACTGACGACGAACTCTCCTGAAAATACCCGGAGTATTTTGTATAGTCAGACATGACTCGACAATTCTGACTCTTAAGTCCTCCACGCTTTGAACAGGAGTCTTGTATACTAATGATTTCAAATGTCCCCATAAAAAGAAATCGATAGGATTAATGTCAGGCATCTAGGCGGCCATGACTGTGGTCCGCCTCTTCCAATCCATCGATTTGGATAATTATTATCTGGGTATTCTCGCGCAACGACACTGAAGCGTGGCGGAGCACCGTCATGCATGTACCACATGCGACGTCGTTCTCAAAGAGCAATTTCCTCCATTAATCCAGGTAGGTCAAATTCCAGAAATATGCAGTATTCTTCGCCGCTAAGTCTGGTTGTAAGGAAATGAGGGCCAATCAAGTGGTCACTAACGATTGAAATCCAAATATTGAAGGAAAAGTCGTGTTGCGTATTATGTTCAATTATGGCATAGAGATTTTCTGGACACCATACATGGTTACTATGGAAACTTATTATTGCTGTTCGCAACAAACATGCTTCATCCGTGAATAGTATTTAAAATTTTTTTATTTAATGTTACTTTTTTACGTAACCAGTTGCAAAAATCAACTCTTATAGGCAAATCTCGAGGCTAGAGCGCTTGTACACGTTGTATATGATATGGATGAAGTTGCTGATTTTTCAAAAGTTGCCATACCGTTACATGATTCAAATTTAGCTGGTGTGCAATTTTTCGTGTACTTGTTGTAGGGTCCTCTTCGATTTTATTAAGCACAGCTTCTTCGATTTGGATGGTTCTTACACTTGCCGGTTTTCCTGCAACATGTGTGGACCTCTTGAAACTAAATGTTTTACATAGGCTGAATGTTGATGAAAGTTTGTACATTAGGCAGCGGGCGTTGTGGAAATCGATCACTATACAAACGTCGTGCTCGTCGAGCGTTACCCAGAGCCATTCCGTAAACAAAATGCATATCTGTCATTTCTTGATTACTGAACTGGACCATTATGACAATCAGCAATCACCAAAATATTTGGAGTCTTAGAATGACCGGACAAGAAAACAAATATTTGACAGCTGTTGAATTATTTGAGAAAATTTGTTTTCGGGTACGTCATAGATAAGCACAATGGAGGGTCTGGAAACAACTGTAAACCATGTGCTATTCACCACGGGGCATACTTAATTAAAATAAAATACGTTCCATTCTTTAATAATTTTTAGAACAATATCATCATTTCTTTTATTGCTAATATGCTCTAGCTTGAAAACAAAGCCGTTGCGGACCAATGTTCATATGGAAATTTTGTTTTCAAATTGACCAAGGATTCGATGGTTAAAGTTTATCTACATAGTTTATTAACACCCTGTATATAGGTTTTTTGTGATATACAAGATGTCAACTTAGAACTTGTTGGTCATTTGATGTGCACTCGTTCTGTAGCTGTACGTGTTGCCTAACTGTCATGACGCTGACAGCTATCAATGTTTGGCTCTGATGTGATGTAACATCTACTCCAGAGGTCTGACCTGTAGGTTGTATACTGGAACATCTTGTATTTTTCTTGCATTTTTTGCAAATCTCTCCAAACTTGGTATCAGGTAACTAGTTTCATAACCCTTAGGTAGAGTCTTAGCCTTTCTAGTAAATAATGGCGCTCCCATTGAAACTTAATTTCACTTCCCGGGTATTATAAAACAAAACTGCTAGTACTTGTCCATTCGAGGGAAGCTTTGAACCGTTCCCTATTAAAAATATTCCCATTTTAGAACTGCGTAATTCCTTAGACGTGTGCGTATACTAATAGAACAAACGAGCACTGCAATTTGTTGGCTATCTCGCGCTTAATATGCAAGTTTTGACATGTTCCAATGCAACTCGGCACTGGTTGCCCTGATTCTATTTGCATAAAACTTTATTTACAATGTTTTGACTTTGTTCAAAAAAAATTAGTGGGTATGCGTTTGAAAAAAGGTAACCCTAGTGTAGAGTCAACCTACTTAACGCCAATGTTTGTTCAAGGTGTCGGAAGGAGAATCGGCCACATTCGTAGCAGAGACAGAAGACGAGCCGTTGCAAATTAACTGGCTGAAAGACGGCAAGCAGATCAAGGAAAGCAGCGCAAAATACAACTTCACAGCTGACGGAAAGAGATACACCTTTGAAATCCTGAATTGCAACTCGAACGATATTGGTCAATACCAAGCCAAGGCTATAGGCAAAAAGGGTGAAACCTTTGCAGCCTTCTCACTTAACGTCGTACCGCCTGGAGATGTCTAAACTTTAAAGCTCTGACTGCTCTATTTTATATTTAACGAACGATTTGCTCCACTTTGTAACATAGTTATGTGTATAAAATAATCTATTTTTAAGTGTTTTATATTAAAGCCTTGATTCAGCGACACGCTTATACATCATTGCCACAATTCGCATAGAAAATTTTAGTTGTTAGTTCAAAAGAGCTTGATTTGATATTATTTCAAGTTTGCGAGAAATTTTCTGTGTCACATTGTGTCATAGTTGTATACAGTACGAAATATGCTTCAAGTAGAAATAACTAGATTTTAGTATATACTTACAGCTGAAAAAACCAGCATCCTCAATGTTTACCATCAGTCGCTGAAAGTATGTGCTAATTCATGCAATTTTTACTCTCGACCGTTGAAAATTAGCAGTATCTCTAATCATTTTACCGAAAAAGATAGGAGCAGAATGTCGAATTTTTATTTATTCAAACTGTATTTATTTTATTGTGAGAGCTTGAGCCGTATTTTTTTAAAAACGATATTTTTATTAAGTCATCGTTGTTCGTTATTTTATTAGATTCCATATAAAGAATTAAAAAGGTACATTACTGCTTTTGCGAATCCCAAACAAATAATGTAATGTAAACGAGAATATAAAGATTATTTTTTAATATGGTTACTTTTTATTTCATCAAACCTCATCCCACGCATTCGAATAAATTTACATTAGGTATGTCTATGCGGAAAAGATACAGTGGGCACACATTCAATGTAGAAATGGCTCCAAATTATTAACGAAAACCTTGATGATTTTTTTAACCTAGTCGAAAGCTTGTATGTTGAAGATCCAGATTTAGGCCAAGAAATTAAAAATCCAGTTTAAATACAAGAACTTTCCCAAGATTCTGATGTCGATGAGGATCAGTACCAACAGAAGCTATTTCAAATTATGGTAAAGCTATTACCCTGACCAAGCAGCTCAAAAGCTTTGTCGAAACTCAGGGAGATACAGAGTTTATGGAGCTTATTTCTGAATTAGAAATACGATTTCAAGACGCCATTTTAAAGATGAAGAGGAGACAAACGACAATATATGAACTTTTGTGTCTTTAAAGTGACTTTTTATTTCAATGTTTTGTGTTACTACATGAATGCATGTACATACATACAAGCTTATAATTTGAAAAGTACACGACTTAGTTTTTTATATACAGGGTGGCCAATGTAGAACTGAGTTAAATTGCGCGCCATTGTTAAAAAGTTTTACTCAAATAATGAGTCAATTGTTGCAACGATTCGTAAGCTACGACAAGATTTCGGTCGAAATAATGTGCCCAGTGTCAACACCATTCGTCAGTCGGTGCGGAAATTTGAACAAAAAGGTGAGGTTAAAGACTTGCCAAGGTCGGGCCGCCTGGGTGCGCTGTGTAGAAAAAAGAACTACTGAAAGATAAAATTATTATTAAACAGTGGACAGTTTTTTAGTTAAAGATGGAATAAAATACCCAACGATTTTATTTTTTCCCCCAAAAACTCTCCCAGAACATTTTATTCCCCCAAAAATTCCCCAAGGAACGTAAAATTCCCCTATGGCAACCCTGTTTCACGGAGATCATGGTACGCAAGAAATTCTAAACGATTACCGAACTGCGTAAGCGCATGGAAGTGATCTCTCATAATTCGACAACCTTCGGGATTTGTAGGACGATGAAAGCTATTATAAGATTCGCTTACGAGAAGCGCCAAAATATATCATGGTTTTAATTCAACTTTCTATTTGATTGTCCAAGTTAGAACGTTATTAAGAACCAGAGCCTTTGATTGACAGTCAAAATCCTACCTCGAATTCCAGCGATGAGGTGATAAATCCATTTTCTGCACTATTCCCATTGTCAGGTGGAATACGGTAATCAAAGTTGACACTAAACACACACAAGAATAAGTCACATGGTTTATCGGACACCGGGCACGGCACTTCACTCAAAGTTTCCGTTTTTTTAATTAAACCGACAAGGCACGCGACGAAAGCCATGATGAAAACTGACAAGAACGACTGCTTGACAGCCGGGCCGTTTTCATTTGTTTTCACAGCACCCTCTGTTTTGTTTAATTTTTAAATGAATCATGAGGAATTTTGTAATTCTCCATACAGTGGCAGTTCGGAAACTCAATTCTCACAGTGCGATATGGATTTACTTGCGATTTAAATAAAAATAGCTTTTCTTTCCGCATCAGTTGGGTACGAAATACCTACCTATTGTAAAAGTACTGAATAGGTTTTAATAGAATTTTGAAACAGGATTACTACCATTAGTCTAATCATATTAGCAAATTTCCCCGAAATAATTGTAAAGTCTGGTTTTAATGGTGTAAGTTGTTCAAGGGTATAATTAAAACATGGACGCATAAAATGGATACACCAATTTTTGTGGGAAAACTTTTTATTTGACAACAAAGAATTAGAAAACGTGTTTTTTGGGATTCAATCGAAAGTGTGACAGGAATGAAAAAACTTTTCATATAAGATTTTTAGGTATTTATGAGACCTACAAAATGAGACCACACGTAAAAATATCCGACTAATAGCAAAAATGTTATGGACGAAAAACGAGGTAAATGCAGGTTTTGGCACTTGTTGGTAATGCGACGATAATTGCACGCAACTACTTGAAATTCTTCAGATCTGTAGAATTCATACTTCTAAATAACAACAACAAAATTGGATTATATTGGTCAAGAAGTTTTTTGAGAATTTCTGATTGTTTATCCCAAAACAGCAGTTTTCCACCCATCACTACTAGTTTACTGGGCAATATACAGGGCTCATTCAAAGAACATTTAATAGCAAAATACACGTGTTCACCTTGCCGATATGAATCTCAAACCATTCCGAAAGATGTTATTTTTATGCGAAAAACAAAAGTCACGTTTTTTTCTTCAAAACAAATTCAAACATTTTGTATTTGTGAGTAATTGAAAAAATGCGCTAAGGTATTCGAAAAACATACGTAACTATACACAGCGGATGTGTCTTATCATCTGTTGTTGCGAATTACCCACAAATACGACATGTTTGAATTTGCTTGGAAGAAAAAACTTAACCTATCGTTTTTGCCTAAAAATAACATTTATATTCCGGAATGGTTTGTGATTCATATCGGCAAGGTAAACCAGTGTATTTTGCTATGAAATGTGCTTTGAACTAACCCTGTATATTGCTCAATAAGTTAGTAGTGATGGTCAGAAAACAGGTATTTTGGAATAAACAATTAGAAATTCTCAAAAACTACTTGACCAATCTACTCCAATTTTGTTGTGGTTATTTAGAAGTATGAATCCTACGAATTTGAAGAATATCAAATATCTGCGAGAAACCATCGTCGTAATACCAACAAGTGCCATATCCTGCAGTTTGCCTCGGTTTTCGACCATAACTTCTTTGCTATCGGATCCTTTTATGTGTAGTCTCATTTTGTAGGTCTCAAATACCTAAAAATCTTATATTAACAGTTTTTTCGTTCCTGCCAACACTTTCGATTAAATCCTCAAAAACACGATTTCTCATTCTTTGTTGTGGAATAAAAGACTTCATAATTATTTCGCCAGGGGTATTTTAGAATAAGGTTCTTTTTGTTAAGTTTCATTCATTATACGGTAGCAACAGTCGTTCTTTTAATTCTAGTATAAAATTTATATGAATATTGAGTCACTTAGACATAGACACCAACAGTTGTATTAGAACGCATACAATTCAAATATGATGTGGTATTGTGGCAATGACTCTAACTCATGTAATATAAAATTCCATTGATCATATACAGGGTTATTCACAAGTCATTTTCGTCTAATATGATTAGACTACATGCCAAGTATGAACAAGCTTTGATGTAGTTTTAAGAATCCGTTCAGTGACGGCGGAGTTATGAACCACATACGACATTTCCCAGAACGTGTCTAAGCTTAATTTTTCGAATACCTGATCATTTAAGACGTAGTCAAAACACATTTTTTGAATAATGCATTTCTCACCAACGCTTAGAATCTTCGTGGTTGGTGTACCTAGACCAATCTTCGTGGTTGGTGTAGCTAGACCGTAACAAAAAGTTAAATATACTTGACAACAGTTTATAAATGGGAGTCAAATGTGAAAAAACAGAAAACTATACCAGTTCCATAGATTTCAATCGATTAAATTTATTTTTTTACCAATTTTAGCGATAGGTTTACATTGAAAAGTCTACTCCACTCATGGATATGAAACAAATATTATTACCGTCACAAGCCAAGACAAAATCACTGACAGTTCGAAACCAACTCTCGTGATAAGACAACATTCACACAAAGAAGCAAAGTATGCACAGTACTTACACACAATATGATGCCATGTTTGCCAATATCACATCATTATACTCCACGAACTGGCGACGTTTAAACTCTCTTGATATTTTGTGAACGAGAGAATCAGAGTAGATAGTACATAGCACAAAATAGGATATCTGCCTGCTGCCATTTACGACAATATATGAACTTTTATGTCTTTAAAGTGACTTTTTATTTCAATGTTTTGTGTTACTACATGTATGCATGTACATACATACACACAAGCTTATAATTTGAAAAGTACACGACTTAGTTTTTTATATACAGGGTGGCCAATATAGAACTGAGTTAAATTGCGCGCCATTGTTAAAAAGTTTTACTTAAATAATGAGTCAATTGTTGCAACGATTCGTAAGCTACGACAAGATTTCGGTCGAAATAATGTGCCCAGTGTCAACACCATTCGTCAGTCGGTGCGGAAATTTGAACAAAAAGGTGAAGTTAAAGACTTGCCAAGGTCGGGCCGTGTTCGAACTGTTCGTACTCCGGGAAATATCGCGAGAGTCTGTGAAAGTGTAGTGGATCGCCCCGAGACATCGTTCTCAAGAACTGGGTATTCGTCGCATGTTATTAACTATTTTAAAAAAATACTTGCGTTTGCGGCCATACAAAATTCAGTTGACCCAGGAACTACAGCCTAGTGACCATGAAAGTCAGCGACGAAGCCCACTTCGATATGAACGGATTTGTTAATAAGCGATTGAAAATGTTCCTCCCGAAACCTATCCAAAAGTGATGGGAAATGCGATCAAGAGGGCTTAGGTTTACGTGGCTTCTAGAGGCGGACATTTGTCTGATATTATTTTTCATACATAATTTCTAAATTTCAATATAAGATTAAACTGAAAAAAAAAATGGACGTATTTTATTTCATTTAACAAATATTCAAGATACAAACCAGTTAGTTACATATCGGCCACCCTGTATTTCTGATAACTATTATGATTTGACCTATCCCCGACTTTCCGACACTTGAATATTTCTTTGAAGCAACAGTACTTAGAATACAATGAATGGAGTAACAGTACTTAGAATACAATGATGAATCGAACGAGTGAAGTAATTTTAAATTTCCTTATTACAAATTGTACTATTTGTCAGGACAGTTTGTATTTTGCAGGGACTCAGGACATCATATGAACTGTCGGAACCATCCCGACCATCTGGTACCACTCTAAAAAATAAAGAATTACTATTCCTTTATTTACTGGATAAACGGAACAAATAAATTGAGTAACACTTTGTTCTATTATATTTCGCCCTCGTTCCGTAAATAAGAACAAACGTAGTCACCCTATTCTACACCGTACATCACGAATTTTTAAAGTAAACAAACCGCCCGTTACCCCGCTACACCGGCCACGTCGGTGGTACCATCGTATGCACTGTGCATGTCTCATTCCCTGTTTTCGTGCCGTACACCGCGTTTCGTTGCCGACCGGGTTTTTCGTATAGTAGTGCTCCGTCTAGTTTTTTTTTTTGTTTGCGATGTCAGAAAAACGAAAGAGACATGATTTTAGTGACTCCGACAGTGATCAATTGGAAAATTGCAAGATTAAAAAAGGTCCAACGTTCTCTATCCCCCAGAGTGATGTTTTTACCACGCCTGACCACTCGGACGACGACGATGTGCCGTTATCAGTTTTTGCGGCCAGGAATGCTGATGCCGTGGATTCCGAAGTTGTATACTCATGCATAACCAACATCACTACAATTGAAGGTTTTTTTTTATTTAAATTAGTACTATTTTGAGAGATATTTTGGAACAATTTGGTATGATGGGAATCTACGAATCATTAGAATTAATTTTGTAAAATATTATGGCATATTTTACATTACCAATAATATCTATAACGACACTTGATTTTGTAAATAATTATGGTATTTTTTACAAGATGTGTTGTCAATTTTTTGAAAATACTATGGTGTATTTTCCCTGGACTTCTTTGATTGTTAGTAAGTTTTGTAAAATATTATGGCATGTTTTACACAAAATTACCATGACAATCCAGTATAATATATGGTATTGTTTCACATATTTGTTATCAGTTTTCTGAAATATTATGGCATATTTTAGATCTACGACCGTTTATTATATAATATGGTTCCTCTCTTACAGATGAGGGAAGTTCAACTCTAGATGCTAGTATACTAGCTCTTCTGGGAGATGAAAAACCATCTGCAGACGTGCTTGGACCAAGTATTCATGTGGATCTAGCTAGCAGATGGTCATTTATTTTAAGTAACGGGTTAAGTGAGGCCTCGGTCAATACCTTGCTCAAAAAATATACACCTCCTGAAAACTGCCCACTTTTAAAAGGCCCTTGTATCAATCCAGAAGTTGCCTCAGCTATTAGCAAACAAGTGGCTCATAGAGACTCAAACTTCAGTGGGCTTCAGAACCAAATAGAAGCTGCACTGTCAGCATTGGGTCAGCTAGCATCAGCAATAGTGTCTGAAGAAGGGGCGGGGAATCTGGCTTATGTTGAATTAGCTAGTGATGCTAGTAGATTACTGTTAGATTTTAATCGCAAATACTCTGTAATCCGTAGAGATTTATTGATGCTGAATTTACGTAAAGTTCTAAAAGAACGGATGGTTGTTTGGCAAGGATCTCGGTGAGCAAATAACAGCTACCAAGGATATAGAAAAATCTGGTTTGGACTTGAAACCTGCTAGGGTATCTAAACCTAGTACTTCATTTAAACAACCTGCCAAACAGGTTCCGGTAAACTTTTACCGTCCACCTCGTCGAACACAAAAGGGAAGCGGTCGAGGTGGGCGGCCGATAAAGTTTCCAAATCCCTCTCAGTCGTTTCAACAAAGGCCTCACCAAACTCGGAGAAGAACCTCGGACCAGGATCGTCCTCGTCGACAGGACTTACGTCAATACCACAAACAGGGTCGATAGGTCAGAGCGAGGTGGGTTGCACAGTTGGTCGATTACGTAATTATTTACCTATTTGCCAAAAGATTACTAAAGATAAAAATTTTATCTTGGATTTCTGGTTCGAAAATTCCCTTTGTCACCAAACCAATCCAAAAGGTACGACCCTTGGAGAGACATTGGTCAAATTCAGAGAAGTCAGTTTTAAGAGCATCAATTCAGGAGTTATTAGCCTCTGGCGCTATTCATAAAGTCACACATTATAAAGGAGAATACATATCAAGTATTTTCCTAGTTCCTAAACCTGATGGTTCAAAGCATTTAATCTTAAACTTAAAATCTCTTAATAGCTTTATTAAAGCAGAACATTTTAAGCTTGAAGACCAAAGAACAGTATGCAATATTATTCAGGAAAATTCAGTTCCCATTAATAAACATTATAAGAGGTTTTTAAGATTCAGGTTTGATGGTGAATTATTTGAATATAATTGCATACCTTTTGGCCTTAATTGTGCCCCTCTTGTATTCACCAAATTAATGAAACCTGTTCTTTCATTTCTTAGAGGACAAGGCTTACTTTCAGTGCTGTATCTTGATGATTTTTTATTATTGCGAAAAACTTTTGATGAATACCAGAAAAATGTTTCCTCAACTATTAATTTTCTCGAGAAATTGGGCTTTCTTATAAATTATCAAAAGAGTATTGTAACTCCATCTCAGACTGTTCGATATCTGGGGTTTACTTATGGCTCTCAAGATATGTCAATTTCTATACCGGAGAATAAGAAAGATTCACTTCTAAGATGTGTTAGATTTCTTTTAAGGAATACGCGGTGTAAGATACGCATTTTCGCCAAAATAATCGGAAAATTAGTTTCTATATGCCCGGCCGTTCGTTATGGATGGTTATATACTAAATTAATGGAAAGAGAAAAATGTTTGGCCTTGAAGCGAACAGATGGAAATTATGGTAGAATTATGGCCATTTCTCCACTGTTACATAACGATCTCAGGTGGTGGGTATCGCATATAGAAAATAATAGTTTCAACTCTATTAAGTTAGATTTTTTCCATTTGGAAATTTTTCAGATGCCTGCTTAACGGGCTGGGGAATATTCTGTAATAATGTTAGATCTCATGATTTTTGGTCCTTAGAAGAAAGGAAAGAACACATTAATTATTTAGAATTGAAGGCAGCATTTTTTAGTTTAAAATGTTGTGCCGGTCATCTTTCTAACCAAAATATTCTCTTACGCATTGATAATACTACAGCCATTGCATATATAAATAGAATGGGAGGCATTCAATATTTTAAATTAAATTCACTTTGTCGTGAGATTTGGCAGTGGTGTGAAAGCAAAAATTTATTTATATATGCATTAACAGTAAAGATAACATAATTGCAGACATAGAATCACGTAGGTTACATCCTGAGACTGAATGGAAATTGACGACAAATATTTCAGAGAAATTGTTTTAAGATTTGGATTCCCAGAAATAGATCTTTTCGCTAGTCGCATTAATTCTAAATGTCCAATTTTTATTTCTTGGCATCCTGACCCTCTTGCATTCAGAGTGGACGCCTTTACTATCAATTGGGGGACTTATAATTTCTATGCATTGCCCCCTTTTTCAATAATACTTAAAGTTGTGCATAAAATCATTAGAGACGGGGCCCAAGGTATAGTAGTTTTGCCACATTGGCCTACACAGCCTTAGTACCCCATTTTTACATCTCTTCTTAAAAAGCCACCAATTTATTTTCCGGCTAGTAAGGATGTTCTTTTATGTTTTGACAGATCTCAGATACATCCATTATGGCCACAACTTATTCTGGTTGCAGGTCTCTTATCAGGCAAGGTTTAGAATTAAGAGGAACGCCAAAGTCTGCAATTGAGGTCTGCCTAGCTTCAATTACAAAATCTACTGTTAAACAATATGATTCCGGCTTAAAGCGATGGTATCAATTTTGTAAATTAAAAATGAGAGTTGCTTCACTGCTTTAATTCCGACTGTCCTAGAGTTTTTGCAGGAAGAATATAATAAGGGAGCAGCATATGGACACTCAATTCCCAGCGATCCGCTATAGCCCAGATTTTTGCCAAATTTTAGTTTGCCAAAGTAACAAAATATCTGGGATCCTTCACTTGTCTTTGATTATTTGCGAACACTAACTACTGGAGATTGTTCGCTAGAACAGATATCATATAGATTAGCAACCTTGTTAGCTCTTACCTCAGCTCAAAGGTTCAAACGCTTTCTCTTATTCAACTTGATGACATAAAATCTTCATCCCAAAGCGTTCAGATATTTATTCGCCACCGTATTAAAACCTCTGGGCCAGGTAAAGCCCAGCCTGTTATTTCTTTACCATTTTTTAAAAGCGATGAAAATATTTGTGTCGCCACCACTCTCCTATTTTATATAGACAAAACGAAGGATTTACGAAATTCTGTATGTAACAGGCTCTTAATCACCTTTAAAAGACCGTACTCTAGGCATCGTAACCGATCGTAAAGGATGTCAAGAACCAAAATCCGCCAACGTTGATTCTTTACTGCGGCTGAAATATTCATTTTTAGAGCGTTAGTGAATTAAAAAAAAGCAGTATAAAAACCAGAATGTCCAACTGATAAGGCTGAACATTTTTTCACTTGTTATTTACAGTAAGATAAATACATTCAGCAACTTTTATTAAAATAAAACCATTTAAACTGGGTGTTCGGATTTATATGTCACTTAGTATATTAAACAGTAGACAGTTTTTTAGTTAAAGATGGAACAAAATACACAACGGTTTTATTTTTTCCCCCAAAAACTCTTCCAGAACATTTTATTCCCCCAAAAATTCCCCAAGGAACGTAAAATTCCCCTATGGCAACCCTGTTTCACGGAGATCGTGGTACCCAAGAAATTCTAAACGATTACCGAACTGCGTAAGCGCATGGAAGTGATCTCTCATAATTCGACAACCTTCGGGATTTGTAGGACGATGAAAGCTATTATAAGATTCGCTTACGAGAAGCGCCAAAATATATCATGGTTTTAATTCAACTTTCTATTTGATTGTCCAAGTTAGAACGTTATTAAGAACCAGAGCCTTTGATTGACAGTCAAAATCCTACCTCGAATTCCAGCGATGAGGTGATAAATCCATTTTCTGCACTATTCCCATTGTCAGGTGGAATACGGTAATCAAAGTTGACACTAAACACACACAAGAATAAGTCACATGGTTTATCGGACACCGGGCACGGCACTTCACTCAAAGTTTCCGTTTTTTTAATTAAACCGACAAGGCACGCGACGAAAGCCATGATGAAAACTGACAAGAACGACTGCTTGACAGCCGGGCCGTTTTCATTTGTTTTCACAGCACCCTCTGTTTTGTTTAATTTTTAAATGAATCATGAGGAATTTTGTAATTCTCCATACAGTGGCAGTTCGGAAACTCAATTCTCACAGTGCGATATGGATTTACTTGCGATTTAAATAAAAATAGCTTTTCTTTCCGCATCAGTTGGGTACGAAATACCTACCTATTGTAAAAGTACTGAATAGGTTTTAATAGAATTTTGAAACAGGATTACTACCATTAGTCTAATCATATTAGCAAATTTCCCCGAAATAATTGTAAAGTCTGGTTTTAATGGTGTAAGTTGTTCAAGGGTATAATTAAAACATGGACGCATAAAATGGATACACCAATTTTTGTGGGAAAACTTTTTATTTGACAACAAAGAATTAGAAAACGTGTTTTTTGGGATTCAATCGAAAGTGTGACAGGAATGAAAAAACTTTTCATATAAGATTTTTAGGTATTTATGAGACCTACAAAATGAGACCACACGTAAAAATATCCGACTAATAGCAAAAATGTTATGGACGAAAAACGAGGTAAATGCAGGTTTTGGCACTTGTTGGTAATGCGACGATAATTGCACGCAACTACTTGAAATTCTTCAGATCTGTAGAATTCATACTTCTAAATAACAACAACAAAATTGGATTATATTGGTCAAGAAGTTTTTTGAGAATTTCTGATTGTTTATCCCAAAACAGCAGTTTTCCACCCATCACTACTAGTTTACTGGGCAATATACAGGGCTCATTCAAAGAACATTTAATAGCAAAATACACGTGTTCACCTTGCCGATATGAATCTCAAACCATTCCGAAAGATGTTATTTTTATGCGAAAAACAAAAGTCACGTTTTTTTCTTCAAAACAAATTCAAACATTTTGTATTTGTGAGTAATTGAAAAAATGCGCTAAGGTATTCGAAAAACATACGTAACTATACACAGCGGATGTGTCTTATCATCTGTTGTTGCGAATTACCCACAAATACGACATGTTTGAATTTGCTTGGAAGAAAAAACTTAACCTATCGTTTTTGCCTAAAAATAACATTTATATTCCGGAATGGTTTGTGATTCATATCGGCAAGGTAAACCAGTGTATTTTGCTATGAAATGTGCTTTGAACTAACCCTGTATATTGCTCAATAAGTTAGTAGTGATGGTCAGAAAACAGGTATTTTGGAATAAACAATTAGAAATTCTCAAAAACTACTTGACCAATCTACTCCAATTTTGTTGTGGTTATTTAGAAGTATGAATCCTACGAATTTGAAGAATATCAAATATCTGCGAGAAACCATCGTCGTAATACCAACAAGTGCCATATCCTGCAGTTTGCCTCGGTTTTCGACCATAACTTCTTTGCTATCGGATCCTTTTATGTGTAGTCTCATTTTGTAGGTCTCAAATACCTAAAAATCTTATATTAACAGTTTTTTCGTTCCTGCCAACACTTTCGATTAAATCCTCAAAAACACGATTTCTCATTCTTTGTTGTGGAATAAAAGACTTCATAATTATTTCGCCAGGGGTATTTTAGAATAAGGTTCTTTTTGTTAAGTTTCATTCATTATACGGTAGCAACAGTCGTTCTTTTAATTCTAGTATAAAATTTATATGAATATTGAGTCACTTAGACATAGACACCAACAGTTGTATTAGAACGCATACAATTCAAATATGATGTGGTATTGTGGCAATGACTCTAACTCATGTAATATAAAATTCCATTGATCATATACAGGGTTATTCACAAGTCATTTTCGTCTAATATGATTAGACTACATGCCAAGTATGAACAAGCTTTGATGTAGTTTTAAGAATCCGTTCAGTGACGGCGGAGTTATGAACCACATACGACATTTCCCAGAACGTGTCTAAGCTTAATTTTTCGAATACCTGATCATTTAAGACGTAGTCAAAACACATTTTTTGAATAATGCATTTCTCACCAACGCTTAGAATCTTCGTGGTTGGTGTACCTAGACCAATCTTCGTGGTTGGTGTAGCTAGACCGTAACAAAAAGTTAAATATACTTGACAACAGTTTATAAATGGGAGTCAAATGTGAAAAAACAGAAAACTATACCAGTTCCATAGATTTCAATCGATTAAATTTATTTTTTTACCAATTTTAGCGATAGGTTTACATTGAAAAGTCTACTCCACTCATGGATATGAAACAAATATTATTACCGTCACAAGCCAAGACAAAATCACTGACAGTTCGAAACCAACTCTCGTGATAAGACAACATTCACACAAAGAAGCAAAGTATGCACAGTACTTACACACAATATGATGCCATGTTTGCCAATATCACATCATTATACTCCACGAACTGGCGACGTTTAAACTCTCTTGATATTTTGTGAACGAGAGAATCAGAGTAGATAGTACATAGCACAAAATAGGATATCTGCCTGCTGCCATTTACGACAATATATGAACTTTTATGTCTTTAAAGTGACTTTTTATTTCAATGTTTTGTGTTACTACATGTATGCATGTACATACATACACACAAGCTTATAATTTGAAAAGTACACGACTTAGTTTTTTATATACAGGGTGGCCAATATAGAACTGAGTTAAATTGCGCGCCATTGTTAAAAAGTTTTACTTAAATAATGAGTCAATTGTTGCAACGATTCGTAAGCTACGACAAGATTTCGGTCGAAATAATGTGCCCAGTGTCAACACCATTCGTCAGTCGGTGCGGAAATTTGAACAAAAAGGTGAAGTTAAAGACTTGCCAAGGTCGGGCCGTGTTCGAACTGTTCGTACTCCGGGAAATATCGCGAGAGTCTGTGAAAGTGTAGTGGATCGCCCCGAGACATCGTTCTCAAGAACTGGGTATTCGTCGCATGTTATTAACTATTTTAAAAAAATACTTGCGTTTGCGGCCATACAAAATTCAGTTGACCCAGGAACTACAGCCTAGTGACCATGAAAGTCAGCGACGAAGCCCACTTCGATATGAACGGATTTGTTAATAAGCGATTGAAAATGTTCCTCCCGAAACCTATCCAAAAGTGATGGGAAATGCGATCAAGAGGGCTTAGGTTTACGTGGCTTCTAGAGGCGGACATTTGTCTGATATTATTTTTCATACATAATTTCTAAATTTCAATATAAGATTAAACTGAAAAAAAAATGGACGTATTTTATTTCATTTAACAAATATTCAAGATACAAACCAGTTAGTTACATATCGGCCACCCTGTATTTCTGATAACTATTATGATTTGACCTATCCCCGACTTTCCGACACTTGAATATTTCTTTGAAGCAACAGTACTTAGAATACAATGAATGGAGTAACAGTACTTAGAATACAATGATGAATCGAACGAGTGAAGTAATTTTAAATTTCCTTATTACAAATTGTACTATTTGTCAGGACAGTTTGTATTTTGCAGGGACTCAGGACATCATATGAACTGTCGGAACCATCCCGACCATCTGGTACCACTCTAAAAAATAAAGAATTACTATTCCTTTATTTACTGGATAAACGGAACAAATAAATTGAGTAACACTTTGTTCTATTATATTTCGCCCTCGTTCCGTAAATAAGAACAAACGTAGTCACCCTATTCTACACCGTACATCACGAATTTTTAAAGTAAACAAACCGCCCGTTACCCCGCTACACCGGCCACGTCGGTGGTACCATCGTATGCACTGTGCATGTCTCATTCCCTGTTTTCGTGCCGTACACCGCGTTTCGTTGCCGACCGGGTTTTTCGTATAGTAGTGCTCCGTCTAGTTTTTTTTTTTGTTTGCGATGTCAGAAAAACGAAAGAGACATGATTTTAGTGACTCCGACAGTGATCAATTGGAAAATTGCAAGATTAAAAAAGGTCCAACGTTCTCTATCCCCCAGAGTGATGTTTTTACCACGCCTGACCACTCGGACGACGACGATGTGCCGTTATCAGTTTTTGCGGCCAGGAATGCTGATGCCGTGGATTCCGAAGTTGTATACTCATGCATAACCAACATCACTACAATTGAAGGTTTTTTTTTATTTAAATTAGTACTATTTTGAGAGATATTTTGGAACAATTTGGTATGATGGGAATCTACGAATCATTAGAATTAATTTTGTAAAATATTATGGCATATTTTACATTACCAATAATATCTATAACGACACTTGATTTTGTAAATAATTATGGTATTTTTTACAAGATGTGTTGTCAATTTTTTGAAAATACTATGGTGTATTTTCCCTGGACTTCTTTGATTGTTAGTAAGTTTTGTAAAATATTATGGCATGTTTTACACAAAATTACCATGACAATCCAGTATAATATATGGTATTGTTTCACATATTTGTTATCAGTTTTCTGAAATATTATGGCATATTTTAGATCTACGACCGTTTATTATATAATATGGTTCCTCTCTTACAGATGAGGGAAGTTCAACTCTAGATGCTAGTATACTAGCTCTTCTGGGAGATGAAAAACCATCTGCAGACGTGCTTGGACCAAGTATTCATGTGGATCTAGCTAGCAGATGGTCATTTATTTTAAGTAACGGGTTAAGTGAGGCCTCGGTCAATACCTTGCTCAAAAAATATACACCTCCTGAAAACTGCCCACTTTTAAAAGGCCCTTGTATCAATCCAGAAGTTGCCTCAGCTATTAGCAAACAAGTGGCTCATAGAGACTCAAACTTCAGTGGGCTTCAGAACCAAATAGAAGCTGCACTGTCAGCATTGGGTCAGCTAGCATCAGCAATAGTGTCTGAAGAAGGGGCGGGGAATCTGGCTTATGTTGAATTAGCTAGTGATGCTAGTAGATTACTGTTAGATTTTAATCGCAAATACTCTGTAATCCGTAGAGATTTATTGATGCTGAATTTACGTAAAGTTCTAAAAGAACGGATGGTTGTTTGGCAAGGATCTCGGTGAGCAAATAACAGCTACCAAGGATATAGAAAAATCTGGTTTGGACTTGAAACCTGCTAGGGTATCTAAACCTAGTACTTCATTTAAACAACCTGCCAAACAGGTTCCGGTAAACTTTTACCGTCCACCTCGTCGAACACAAAAGGGAAGCGGTCGAGGTGGGCGGCCGATAAAGTTTCCAAATCCCTCTCAGTCGTTTCAACAAAGGCCTCATCAAACTCGGAGAAGAACCTCGGACCAGGATCGTCCTCGTCGACAGGACTTACGTCAATACCACAAACAGGGTCGATAGGTCAGAGCGAGGTGGGTTGCACAGTTGGTCGATTACGTAATTATTTACCTATGTGGCAAAAGAATACTAAAGATAAAAATTGTATCTTGGATTTCTGGTTTGAAAATTCCCTTTGCCACCAAACCAATCCAAAAGGTACGACCCTCGGAGAGGCATTGGTCAAATTCAGAGAAGTCAGTTTTAAGAGAATCAATTCAGGAGTTATTAGCCTCTGGCGCTATTCATAAAGTCACACATTATAAAGGAGAATACATATCAAGTATTTTCCTAGCTCCTAAACCTGATGGTTCAAAGTGTTTAATCTTAAACTTAAAATCTCTTAATAGCTTTATTAAAGCAGAACATTTTAAGCTTGAAGACCAAAGAACAGTATGCAATATTATTCAGGAAAATTATTTCATGTCCACTCTGGCTTTAATGAATGCATACTATTCAGTTCCCATTAATTAACATTATAAGAAGTTTTTAAGATTCAGGTTTGATGGTGAATTATTTGAATATAATTGCATACCTTTTGGCCTTAATTGTGCCCCTCTTGTATTCACCAAATTAATGAAACCTGTTCTTTCATTTCTTAGAGGACAAGGCTTACTTTCGGTGCTGTATCTTGATGATTTTTTATTATTGGGAAAAACTTTTAATGAATGCCAGAAAAATGTTTCCTTAACTATTAATTTTCTCGAGAAATTGGGCTTTCTTATAAATTATCAAAAGAGTGTTGTAACTCCGTCTCAGACTGTTCGATATCTGGGGTTTACTTATGGCTCTCAAGATATGTCAATTTCTATCCCGGAGAATAAGAAAGATTCACTTCTAAGATGTGTTAGATTTCTTTTAAGGAATACGCGGTGTAAGATACGCATTTTCGCCAAAATAATCGGAAAATTAGTTTCTATATGCCCGGCCGTTCGTTATGGATGGTTATATACTAAATTAATGGAAAGAGAAAAATGTTTGGCCTTGAAGCGAACAGATGGAAATTATGGTAGAATTATGGCCATTTCTCCACTGTTACATAACGATCTCAGGTGGTGGGTATCGCATATAGAAAATAATAGTTTCAACTCTATTAAGTTAGATTTTTTCCATTTGGAAATTTTTCAGATGCCTGCTTAACGGTCTGGGGAATATTCTGTAATAATGTTAGATCTCATGATTTTTGGTCCTTAGAAGAAAGGAAAGAACACATTAATTATTTAGAATTGAAGGCTTCATTTTTTAGTTTAAAATGTTGTGCCGGTCATCTTTCTAACCAAAATATTCTCTTACGCATTGATAATACTACAGCCATTGCATATATAAATAGAATGGGAGGCATTCAATATTTTAAATTAAATTCACTTTGTCGTGAGATTTGGCAGTGGTGTGAAAGCAAAAATTTATTTATATATGCATTAACAGTAAAGATAACATAATTGCAGACATAGAATCACGTAGGTTACATCCTGAGACTGAATGGAAATTGACGACAAATATTTCAGAGAAATTGTTTTAAGATTTGGATTCCCAGAAATAGATCTTTTCGCTAGTCGCATTAATTCTAAATGTCCAATTTTTATTTCGTGGCATCCTGACCCTCTTGCATTCAGAGTGGACGCCTTTACTATCAATTGGGGGACTTATAATTTCTATGCATTGCCCCCTTTTTCAATAATACTTAAAGTTGTGCATAAAATCATTAGAGGCGGGGCCCAAGGTATAGTAGTTGTGCCACATTGGCCTACACAGCCTTAGTACCCCATTTTTACATCTCTTCTTAAAAAGCCACCAATTTATTTTCCGGCTAGTAAGGATGTTCTTTTATGTTTTGACAGATCTCAGATACATCCATTATGGCCACAACTTATTCTGGTTGCAGGCAAGGTTTAGAATTAGGAGGAACGCCAAAGTCTGCAATTGAGGTCTGCCTAGCTTCAATTACAAAATCTACTGTTAAACAATATGATTCCGGCTTAAAGCGATGGTATCAATTTTGTAAATTAAAAATGAGAGTTGCTTCACTGCTTTAATTCCGACTGTCCTAGAGTTTTTGCAGGAAGAATATAATAAGGGAGCAGCATATGGACACTCAATTCCCAGCGATCCGCTATAGCCCAGATTTTTGCCAAATTTTAGTTTGCCAAAGTAACAAAATATCTGGGATCCTTCACTTGTCTTTGATTATTTGCGAACACTAACTACTGGAGATTGTTCGCTAGAACAGATATCATATAGATTAGCAACCTTGTTAGCTCTTACCTCAGCTCAAAGGGTTCAAACGCTTTCTCTTATTCAACTTGATGACATAAAATCTTCATCCCAAAGCGTTCAGATATTTATTCGCCACCGTATTAAAACCTCTGGGCCAGGTAAAGCCCAGCCTGTTATTTCTTTACCATTTTTTAGAAGCGATGAAAATATTTGTGTCGCCACCACTCTCCTATTTTATATAGACAAAACGAAGGATTTACGAAATTCTGTATGTAACAGGCTCTTAATCACCTTTAAAAGACCGTACTCTAGGCATCGTATCCGATCGTAAAGGATGTCAAGAACCAAAATCCGCCAACGTTGATTCTTTACTGCGGCTGAAATATTCATTTTTAGAGCGTTAGTGAATTAAAAAAAAGCAGTATAAAAACCGGAATGTCCAACTGATAAGGCTGAACATTTTTTCACTTGTTATTTACAGTAAGATAAATACATTCAGCAACTTTTATTAAAATAAAACCATTTAAACTGGGTGTTCGGATTTATATGTCACTTAGTATATTAAACAGTAGACAGTTTTTTAGTTAAAGATGGAACAAAATACCCAACGGTTTTATTTTTTCCCCCAAAAACTCTTCCAGAACATTTTATTCCCCCAAAAATTCCCCAAGGAACGTAAAATTCCCCTATGGCAACCCTGTTTCACGGAGATCGTGGTACCCAAGAAATTCTAAACGATTACCGAACTGCGTAAGCGCATGGAAGTGATCTCTCATAATTCGACAACCTTCGGGATTTGTAGGACGATGAAAGCTATTATAAGATTCGCTTACGAGAAGCGCCAAAATATATCATGGTTTTAATTCAACTTTCTATTTGATTGTCCAAGTTAGAACGTTATTAAGAACCAGAGCCTTTGATTGACAGTCAAAATCCTACCTCGAATTCCAGCGATGAGGTGATAAATCCATTTTCTGCACTATTCCCATTGTCAGGTGGAATACGGTAATCAAAGTTGACACTAAACACACACAAGAATAAAGTCACATGGTTTATCGGACACCGGGCACGGCACTTCACTCAAAATTTCCGTTTTTCTTTTTTAATTAAACCGACAAGGCACGCGACGAAATCCTTGATGAAAACTGACAAGAACGACTGCTTGACAGCCAGGCCGCTTTCATTTGTTTCCACAGCACCCTCTGTTTTGTTTAATTTTTAAATGAATCATGAGGAATTTTGTAATTCTCCATACAGTGGCAGTCCGGAAACTCAATTCTCACAATGCGATATGGATTTACTTGCGATTTAAATAAAAATAGCTTTTCTTTCCGCATCAGTTGGGTACGAAATACCTACCTATTGTAAAAGTACTGAATAGGTTTTAATAGAATTTTGAAACAGGATTACTACCATTAGTCTAATCATATTAGCAAATTTCCCCGAAATAATTGTAAAGTCTGGTTTTAATGGTGTAAGTTGTTCAAGGGTATAATTAAAACATGGACGCATAAAATGGATACACCAATTTTTGTGGGAAAACTTTTTATTTGACAACAAAGAATTAGATAACGTGTTTTTTGGGATTCAATCGAAAGTGTGACAGGAATGAAAAAACTTTTCATATAAGATTTTTAGGTATTTATGAGACCTACAAAATGAGACCACACGTAAAAATATCCGACTAATAGCAAAAATGTTATGGGCGAAAAACGAGGTAAATGCAGGTTTTGGCACTTGTTGGTAATGCGACGATAATTTCACGCAACTACTTGAAATTAATCAAATCTGTAGAACTCATACTTCTAAATAAGAACAACAAAATTTGATTATATTGGTCAAGAAGTTTTTTGAGAATTTCTAATTGTTTATCCCAAAACAGCTGTTTTCCACCCATCACTACTAGTTTACTGGGCAATATACAGGGCTCATTCAAAGAGCATTTAATAGCAAAATACACGTGTTTACCTTGCCGATATGAATCTCAAACCATTCCGAAAGATGTTATTTTTAGGCGAAAAACAAAAGTCACGTTTTTTTCTTCAAAACAAATTCAAACATTTTGTATTTGTGAGTAATTGAAAAAATGCGCTAAGGTATTCGAAAAACATAGGTTACTATACACAGCGGATGTGTCTTATGATCTGTTGTTGCGAATTACCCACAAATACGACATGTTTGAATTTGCTTGGAAGAAAAAACTTAACCTATCGTTTTTGCCTAAAAATAACATTTATATTCCGGAATGGTTTGTGATTCATATCGGCAAGGTAAACCAGTGTATCTTGCTATAAAATGTGCTTTGAACTAACCCTGTATATTGCTCAATAAGTTAGTAGTGATGGCCAGAAAACAGGTATTTTGGAATAAACAATTAGAAATTCTCAAAAACTACTTGACCAATCTACTCCAATTTTGTTGTGGTTATTAAGAAGTATGAATCCTACGAATTTGAAGAATATCAAATATCTGCGAGAAACCATCGTCGTAATACCAACAAGTGCCATATTCTGCAGTTTGCCTCGGTGTTCGACCATAACTTCTTTGCTATCGGATCCTTTTATGTGTGGTCTCATTTTGTAGGTCTCAAATACCTAAAAATCTTATATTAACAGTTTTTTTCGTTCCTGCCAACACTTTCGATTAAATCCTCAAAAACACGATCTCTCATTCTTTGTTGTGGAATCAAAGACTTCATAATTATTTCGCCAGGGGTATTTTCGTCTAATATGATTAGACTAATACGCGTTTGCACGATGGTATGCCACAAACCATGGGGGGTAGGCTGAGGAATGAATGACAATTTTTTGAAGAGAAAGAGGGAGAATAAGGTTCTTTTTGTTAAGTTTCATTCATTATACGGTAGCAACAGTCGTTCTTTTTTTAATTCTAGTATAAAATTTATATGAAAATTGAGTCACTTAGACATAGACACCAACAGTTGTATTAGAACGCATACAATTCAAATATGATGTGGTATTGTGGCAATGACTCTAACTCATGTAATATAAAATTCCATTGATCCTATACAGGGTTATTCACAAGTCTATTTTAGTCTAATATGATTGGACTACATGCCAAGTATGAACAAGCTTTGTAGTTTTAAGAATCCGTTCAGTGACGGCGGAGTTATGAACCACATACGACATTTCCCAGAACGTGTCTAAGCTTAATTTTTCGAATACCTGATCATTTAAGACGTAGTCAAAACACATTGTTTGAATAATGCGTTTCTCACCAACGCTTAGAATCTTCGTGGTTGGTGTAGCTAGACCAATCTTCGTGGTTGGTGTAGCTAGACCGTAACAAAAAGTTATATATACTTGACAACAGTTTATAAATGGGAGTCAAATGTGAAAAAACAGAAAAATATAGTTCCATAGATTTCAATCGATTAAATTTATTTTTTCACCAATTTTAGCGATAAGTTTACATTGAAAAGTCTACTCCACTCATGGATATGAAACAAATATTATTACCGTCACAAGCCAAGACAAAATCACTGACAGTTCGAAACCAACTCTCGTGATAAGACAACATTCACACAAAGAAGCAAAGTATGCACAGTACTTACACACAATATGATGCCATGTTTGCCAATATCACATCATTATACTCCACGAACTGGCGACGTTTAAACTCTCTTGATATTTTGTGAACGAGAGAATCAGAGTATATAGTACATAGCACAAAATAGGGTATCTGCCTGCTGCCATTTACGCTTAATTGTTTAATAAATTTGTCATACCTTGAACTGGCTGTGGTATTTTTTTCATCCACAAGAATGTAAGGTGGGGCTTTCATCACACTGACACGTCAATTGGCGAGTATTCCAATCGCAAAAAAATTATATAATAAGTTAAAATCACACCCGTGCTTCTGCGATCGCCAGATGAGACTAGCCAATTGACTATCTAAAAAGTGCGCGCATACCTCTACATATGCCTTGTTAACTTTTCCCTGAAAGGGGTTCATTTGAGGTGGTCTGATCCCGGTAACAGGGAAATTAAATGACAAAAGTTTGATGTATAACGAGCTCATGATTCTAAATAATTTTGCAAACGTTGGCGTTGCGTGCACGTGAGATGCTGCAGCGGCGTGGAGGCCACTACCGACTGTGCAATGGGTAAACAAAATCCAACTGGTGAACCTACGGTGGTGTTGTCGCTGACATACCGGTACAGGAGAATATTTATATATTTTAGCAATAGTTAGATATTAGGAGTTTTGAGATGCTTTTGTAAATGATGACTAAACTGTTTTTATATCTATACATATACAGGGTGGACGGAATATTACTCATAAACAAATACATTTTGGGAAAATCTATTTATGGGATGTTATACATGACATATGAGGGCACATTTCTGAAATATTGACCATTATACAGGGTGTCCCAATTTCGACCTACATATCAAAGTTGTGATTTTTCAAATGGAATGCCTATTGCACATTTGGATAAACCAATTCAAAAGAAAAAATATTACATACTATGGGGTTTTGGTAATTAGCTTCTGAGATAAAACGTATTTTGTCTAGAAAAACCCCCCACTTCGCCAACCCCTCAGTCCGCCATTTTGAAATTTGGAGTACTGAATTTTGTATAAAAAAACACATACACACCTCAGCTTTTGTCTTCTTTGTTACTTTTTCGAATTTTAATTTTTGCTCATACAGGGTTGTCAAAAACGCAAATTGTAGCTTTTCTCAAAAATTTCAAATGCATCACCCTGTATATTTGTGCAAGTTTGGATCCAATTTTTCATAAGCTTTTTTTTGATAATAGACACATAAGGGTTTTTACGGCTATTTTTCGGTTATTAGCACGTCTTTTATGGAACGGCTTAATTCCCTAAAACATCGCACCATCTTTGGAAACAAATAAACTGTTAATTAGTTACAAGCTGTCAAAATTAGCTTTGTGAGCATTATAATAAAAACATGTTTGAAAATGAATTTTTTTAAAGAAGAAATGGTGAATATAGTGTTCATTTTGGGCGAAGCCCAAATAAATAGTTTCCTAGCATGTCGCATTTATAAGCAACGGTACCCTAATATGCGACATCCAAGGCCGGAAACATTTTCCACACTACGAGAACGTTTTGAATCAAGTGGAGCAGTAGAATATAGTAAAAAATGAATAAATAATCCAAGTGTCACCAATGAGGCGAATCAGTTGGAGGTTCTATTAAAGTTGCAGAAAAATCCCCATTTAAGTGCACGGCAAATTGGAGCAGAGACTGATAGATGCCAAACTTCTGTCCAAAGGATTATTCACAAGCATAGGTACCATCCATATCACCTATGCTTGCATCAAGGCCTTCGTCCTCAGCATTTCGCAGCTCGAATGGAGTTTAGTAGAATAATGCTAAATAAAGTGAGTGAAGACACTACTTTCCTGGATAAGGTTCTTTTTAGCGATGAGGCAATTTTTTGATAGAGCATTTGCCTTTGCTTTTGGAGGATGTCAACCGACAAACTCGGATGCATATGTATTTCCAACATGACGGCGCACCTGTGCATTATGATAATCGTGTGCGTAACTATTTGGACACCTGGAGTAACAATCGTTGGATCGGTCGTGATGGGCCTATATCTTGGCCTCCTAGATCACCAGATATGACACCGATGGACTTTTTCCTATGGAGCTACGTTAAGCAAGAGGTTTATAGATATCCACCATCTACCCCGGGAAATATGAAGGAAAGGATTAAGGATGCTTTTCTGAACATAAGGGAGCAATGTGCAACGGTCATTTATCCAAAGACTACGGCTGTGTATTCAACATGGTGGAGATATTTTCGAGCAGTTTTTGTAGATTAGGTCTTGAGTAGTCATAGTTGTTTGTTTATGTTGTTATAGTTGTTTTTTTTTCTATTACGCTTGAAGCTGATTTATACTGTTCTGATTGTTATTAGTTTTTACGTCAAATCTGTACTCTTAGTGGCAATATGGAACTAGCCCACCGTTTGACTTTTGTTTACATGGATGATGTGATTTTCTTCCTTAATTTTGGTGTGTTGTTCTATTAAAAGCTTAATAACTCAAAATAGTGATTTTATCTGAATTAAACCTTATACCAAAAAAAGCTTAAATATACAGGTGATGCATTTGAATTTTTTGAGAAAAAGTACAATTCACGTTTTTGACCACTCTGTATGAGCAAAAATAAAATTTCGAAGAAGTAACGAAGTAACAAATAAGATAAAAGCTGAGGTGTGTAATTTTTTTAATACAAAATTCAGCACTCCAGATTGCAAAATGGCGGATTGAGGGGTTGCCGAAGTGGACGATTTTTCTGGACAAAACACCTTACATCTCAGTAGCTTATTACCAAAACCCCATAGTATATCAATCTTCTTCTGTTGAATTGCTTCAACCAAATATACAATAAAATTTGACACATTCCATTTAAAAAATCACAACTTTGATATGTAGGTCAAAATTGGGACACCCTGTATAATTGCCAATATTTTAGAAATGTGTCCTTAAATGTCAGGTATAACATGACATAAATAGATTTTCCCAAAATGTATTATTTATGAGTAATATTCCGTCCACACATGGATGGGCCACCCTTGTATTTGTTCGAATTTTATGATCCTTCAATGTACCACCCATTTCGCCTAACCTTCAATTTGTGTTACTCCGTCTATGATGGTTCTCTGAATATTTCGTCAAGTCGATTAACTCAGTACTTATGACGCGTTGATGTACAACTGACACGGACTGACAAACCGACGTAAATGAGAAACACGGACTTGTGTGATGCAGATAGCAACAGAAAACTTGTAAACCGAAGCTCGAATATTATCATGATTTTAATACTACCATCGTTTATCGTAGATTTTAAAAATTGATTCAGAGGCAGCGAAAATAAAATCGCTGGACCATAGTGCTACAACGTTTCAGAGATTCATACTCATCTTCAGACATTGTTTGGATGGGATGAAAATTGTAGGTTGGAAGCGGAATGCGATAAATGGTTGTAAATTGTTACCATTTTTTTGGTAGTTTTCAACAGGCAGACGATATTTCGCAAAAAAATTCGAGAGGCAGCTACTCGAATCCTTGAACTAGGCTATACAGGGTGACTTCGAAGTTGAGTCATTTATTTTAACAGTGAGTAGATCTGATCAAAAGAAATGTTTTTTTCCTTTAACATTTTTCTGGTAAAATTAAATTAACAAAGTTATAGAAATTATAGAAATTTGAGTACCGCCCTGTCTCAATGATAATATTATGTGCTCGTGTTTGGCGACGACGGATATAATCCGCCTTACCGGTTCATCGCATCGGAAACAAAAAAGCGAAAGAATTTGAAACGTTTATCACGATGTTTTTCGTCAGTCGGTAACGCGTGAGTGAATAGTGGTGATTGTTGCGTGGCTCAAACGAAATAAAAATGGCACATGTTTACGAAAATGCTGAACTTGTGGACATGATTCTTATTTACGGGGGGGGGGGGAGGAGTTTTTACAAAATGCTGCCGCGGCATCACGGATTTGTGCGAATCGGTTCCCCAATCGAGTGCAACCAACCCCTCGTGCCTTTGTTAGTGTAGTACAAAGGGCTCGTGAATCAGGTGAATTAAGACCTCACAGGGTTCTCCAAGACCGCACGATCAAATACAGGTCCGCACTGAAATACTTGTCGGGAGGATACTTTATAAAACAAGGTAACATTTTTTTTTTATTTTTTTTTATTTTTACACACATATTTTGGTTTATCTTCCTTCTACAATCATTATCTGAAAATTAATGACTCAACTTCAAAGTCACCCTGTATATTATTTATTATTTTATTATTATAAAAAATATCACGAGTGTTAAATGCCTACAGCTTTTGAGGTATTATGTGGCAATATGGCGCTTTATCCATATGGGCGCATAGCGCCTACTTGAAATTTTCATATCTAATGTTGATACTCAATTTTTACACTAGCCAAAAATGATCATACGTTTATTATATCAATTTATTTACGTATACATACTTGCCACGATTCATATTCATAGATTTTTATATTTTTTTTTTCAGATGTTACCTGTTTGAAACACAAAAACAATGAGAGTGGAGCAAAAAAATTGGGTTACAGATTTTAATATTTCTGAATCATTTTCTAAGTGAGTTTCTTTCCGAAAAATACTAAGTATATCCCAATTTTTTTGCTTCTGACAATAATACATCTTCCAATCTAAACAGGAATATGTAGATACACAAATGCCAAGCTGCTTATACAAAATCCACAATGTTTTGCTTACACCAGGCAGTAACATTCCATCTTTTAGTTGTAAGGTCTTCGCCCATAATACTGTATACCAGGATCATGTTATGTACCTGGAGAAATTTTTGCTAGTAATGCTATGTTCTGTATATGTTAGGTGACGTCGGCACATACCCGTATAATCCGCGTTTGGACGACGGTATCCCAGCAACAACGTTTTTGGAAAAGAAGCAAGGTAGAATAGCTCCTTTTTGCTGATTTTCAGCACTTGTTGCTTTAGGGAGTGGCAACCTACTCAGCCACTTTACTTATGAGACTATGCTCAGAATTGCTAATAAATAATTTTCCATCGACTTTGCATGGTACGAAGGATCTAGGACCAGTCTGCAATCTCAGCAGACCTGGTTACAGTGCTCTCGTAGTGCAAAGATAAAAACATATCTGATGCCACGAATGCATATAACTGTATAATGCTCCATATGAGAGCAAAATGATAGCTACAGCT